AGGGTAAGGTGTTAGGGCAATTGAAACCTTATGCACTCTTGCAGAAATGCCAATATCCTAAAAGACTCCCGTTTACACCACGTTTATGATGTATTCCAACTGCTGCCATCCGGCAAAAGATACAGGAGCATCAATCAAGGACTAACAGACTGAATAGTAGTTTCTACCCTGTCGCGATCAGGGCGCTGGATGACAATCACCTTCATACAACTTGAGTGCAATACATACTATCACGTGCAATATGTCTTTCATGTGCAATAAGGTGTTTTTTTAATATAATTTTTTAATAATTCTTTGACGCTGCAAGGATTGCACCTGATTTTGTTGTACCTATTACAATGACAATGAAGATATTCTGATAAGAGAGTTTATGTCTGGTTAAATAATTGAATTATATGAAAAAATAATTAATGGGGAATCAGTGTTCATTTTAGGGTGAGGGGGGAAGGGTACGATATTTCATCTAAAAGCAATGAATGATTTAACAGGGGGAGATGGCTGGAATGACAATACCTTGGTGTACAAGACGAACCTAATGAGTGGCAAAACGTCTCTTCTGATCTCTTTTCACAATAATTTTCACATTCATTTAAAAAAAAAAACAAAAACAGACTTCTGATTCACCACCACTGCAAAATTCATTCAGTGTTAAAAGTAGTACAAAGTTTCATAGATTTGCCAGTGAAATGGTGAGCTGCGCTAATTTTACTCACATGGAGAGAAAATACTATATTTGTCTTTTCTCTTTTTTTCCTGGGTATATATCTATGCCATTTTTGGCCTTGGATATGAGCATGGGGGATACAACACGTTTGTGTGTGACCCCATACAGACCTTATGCATAAGCTTCACAGGGTCTTTAATTTTTCTCAACCAATCCACCTAATCTGTGCTTTTCCTTCCTGTGGAGTTTTCTGTTGAGCGGACTCTTTCTTTCATTAATTAGTCTTCTGGGATTGGAGGACTGGCTGACAAGCTCTGTCAGTTACGTGTTCCTTTTTTTATTTTTGTCAGGTGTAAAGTGACAGGTTCTGCAGATGTGTTGCCCTCTATTGGTATTCAAGGTCACATTATAGCTACTAATGAAACTGTCTACTTTTCCCTACACTAATAAAAGGAGAAATTAGTGAAATTTCATGATTTGGTATATTTTCACTGTATATTGCAGTTTATAACTATAGAACAATGTTTATTTTGTTTCTGCTAATAATGATTTGTATTGTTTTTCAGTTTCTGATGTGTGGATCACAGTTGGCAGTTTCTCCCCCAGTTTGTCACCATACCATAAGCCTCTTTGAACCATGGCTTCATGGGAAATAAAGTGACCTCTTTTATAAATGTATACTTGCAGTTTTCTAAAAGAATTTGTTCTTTCTCGTAATTGTAGTATAAAGCACTGAAAACCGCTTGTATCTTCCATAGATTCAGAAATCTGTTTTGGTACTGGTCTGGTAAATTTTGTACTGGATCACTATGGACCATATTGAAATACTGACAGCTATGCAATGACATTTCGGATGTTGTGAGTTAAGGTTAAATTACCTTAGCTGAGCAATTCTGAGGAGTCAACCAGTAACAGTAGTATTCTAATTGACTGCGGTCCGATGTCAGTACCAGAACAAATCTGATGGCTGGGCCCAAGTTTTTCATATTGGGGGGGGGGGGGGAAAGAGAATATCTATGCTGTTGTTTAAAGACATTGATACCAAACAAGACCTAAAAGAACACAATACACTACTCAGTATTGCACAGCAGCAGCACACCACAGAAAGAGAAAGACACATCACCTGTGCTTCAGCACCACACAGAAAGAGAAAGACACATCACCTGTGCTTCAGCACCACACAGGAAGAGAAAGACACATCACCTGTGCTTCAGCACCACACAGGAAGAGAAAGACACATCACCTGTGCTTCAGCACCACACAGAAAGAGAAAGACACATCACCTGTGCTTCACTGCACAGACAGCAGCAATGTTGGCACAAAAAGCAGCAAAAGGCACAAAAAGCAGAAAAGCAGTTCAGTGCAGGTGAGTTTGATGTACAAATTTCTCCCTAGATCTCCTTGGTCTATGGCAGCACAAACACTACAGGCTAATGCTAAAATATTGTCAGAAGAAATACCACTTTGTACCCTTGGTTTGTCAATGAGGCTGTACCCTCAAGGGTCTGCCAGTTGTACCCTAGCTGTACATAAATGTACCTTTTAGTATAATTTAAAGTACAGAAATGGATGCTGAGGAACATTTGTGTACCATTTGGGGTACGTTGATGTTGTTAGTATCTCAGGGAACATAACTGTACTAGAGATGTACCTTTTTTTTCTGGTGTACAGAATAAAACTTTATTCGTCTTTTAAAAAGCTGAATCTGTCAATCTAGGTGTCAAATCACCTCAGAGCCACCCTACATTAGCTGCTTAACCCATTAGGTGCACGGTGTATAGGCTGTTGGGTTACGGTGTCACATCACTTGCCACCTGACTGTATAAAATCACAAACTATCATTCCACTCCAACAACCAACCTCCTCCATCTACCAGCTCTTAAAAATATAGCATTTTATTACATCTAGTTATTCACTGAAATGTGCATTTCTTATATTTTCTACTGATGCTTTAATGGGATAATCTTTTGTAACGTCTTTGGGTGCTGACACTGCTGAGGGCTATCAATAATAGGCTGTAGTGCAAAGTCCATCAAACAGCAATAGTTATTATTATTATTTTACCCTTCATAGGCTTCGTCTGCCTTTGATCATTGCAATGGAATTCTTGCACTGTTGTTGGATAATTAATTTTTATTTTCGTTTCAGTTATCCATGGTTTACCGTGGTCAAAAATAAAATGGTGAAATGTATAACAGTATGCTTTTTCATTGTGCCTTTGTCCTTTAAGGACTATAAAAAAGCATAATTTACATTGCACCATCATCCCTTGATACACAATGTTTTTTCATTTTGTCATCTCTTTTGAAGGGAATTGAGCTAAATTGAGAGAATCCCTTTCATTCGAGAGAGTACAGTACTGTATAATAATGTATAATGTACTTTCTTATTACTGAATTTAATTTTGGTAATTTCTTACTCTGCATAATTTATAAATTACCACATGTAAGTACATTAAAATTGTGTACTTTAGGCTATCCATGGTGGGCCCTGGAACGTATCATTTGCACATATAAGGGGAGCTACTGTATAAGGTTTTCAGTGACTACTTAGTTTAGAGCAGATCTTAAATACCCAGCTCTCTGAAACTACTATTTCTCTATCAGACCCTGTCACTGGTTCATCTTATAAATTTGAGTACCAGTGTTCTCACCATCCTGTTCTCCTCCCTGTCTCTTGCCTTTCAGCCCCATTGTGTCTAATGCCTAGTGTGCTTTACCTGTTCTCTGAACTACTGCTTAGCACACTGGGCTGAGTGTGTGGTATAGATTGTAACCCTCTGATTATGGGTTTGAGGCTGGTCAAGGACCACTCTCATCTGTTTATTTATATTTATTGGTTTTGTTCTACAGTGTTTGTTTTCTTTTCTGTTTTCCCAGTTATAGGTTGCCTTGCTGTTTTACTGCGGCCTGTTCTACAAAGCGGGGTTACTGGCTTATCAGGGTAACTTGTCAGAATGAAGGTACCACAGTTTAAATGGACTTGATATTCGTTCACTTACATTTTGCCCAGACTACCTTAAATCCTTACCCCGATAAGCTAGTAACCCCGCTTTGTAGTTCAGGCCCCTGTTCACTTCTGGTCTAGTTTGTATTATTTTGCTCTCGAAATTATCATAGTGTATTCCCAGAGTGTTGGTTAGGGTTTTCTAGTTTTAGTGTTTGTAGTATTCCCTAGTTCTACTCTTGATAATTGTTCCACCTGTTGCTAAGTGTCCTGCTCCTGTTGCAATTGTTTTTTTTGATTTATGATTTACACCTATCCCTTGTTTGCCCCGAGTTTCTGTGTGTATTTAAGTGTCTGTTCTGGTTTTGTTTGTTGATGGTTTATTGTAGTTGCATGTCTGTGAATTGGATGCCTGTGCTAATGTTGTTCTGCTTCATTTCCCAAGTTCTGCCCCCTATGCGTGTTATGGTTTATTTAGTTTGTTAATCAGTGTTTTTTTTTCCCTGTTTAGTTCTGACCTCTCGTGGTCCTTTTGTTTTGTAGTTTACCCCAGTGTGTCCTGTTTTCTTTAATAAAACCCCTTTAGTCTCTGAGCCGCAAGTGAATCGTCCACCTTTTTCCTGTCCACCTTTTATTCCATACTGCAACACTCACTGACAGCCCTGCCCTAGAGCCCTTTACCTGTGCACATGTTGACAGCCAGCTACCTTTGGTAGAGGATATGCAAACACCCATATTCATTAATCACATGTATATTTATGCTGTTTCTCCACTGCTATCTTATATTCAGAAAGAAACGTTCATCCATTCATCTTCCAATTGGTTATCTTCTCAGACATCAGAAATATTGGCCAATAACTAAATGAAAAATAATATAATTACTGTTATATAATGTTGTATTTATAGTGGGGAAAAGGTGGCATATCTAATGAATTATAATTATTATTTGAAGCTGAAAGGGATGAAATGGAAGGAAGGCTTTAAAGAATTTGGTATTTGATATAACAGCATGAAAAAGGAATGATTTTCCTGCGTGGTCATGTAGTGCTATGAGTTATTCAACGACTTCAAGGTCTCTAACAAATCAGGGTTTTCTTTGCCATAAATATACTGACTTGATTCTATTCTGGCTTAGTTTACTAATGGAAAAACAGCATTTGTTGCTTGACTAAAACATCACTATACTCACTAACTCATGGATCACAAATGAAATTGTGAAGTTGATCTTGAGACATGAGAAATGAACACAAAAACACAGCCAATCACAATCAAAATCACAGACACAGAATCATGACAAGTGATGTCTGCCATATAAAATATTCATATAAATACTAGAAATGCAGTAAAATGACACAGAAGTACACAGACACATTCAGTATGTCATTCTAACCTGTCCATTCTTCTTCAAGTCTGCCCACATGCTGGTTCCATCCCCTCCTCTCATCAGAACGTGGTAAGTGAAGTAATAGGTGCCAGGCAGGGGGCAGGTGAACTTTCCGGTTGTGGGTTCATAGTAATTGCCCACATTGGTGACTACATCATCAAACTTAAGCACCTCACTGCCTTCGTGCTGCTTCCTCAGACCAGCATAGAAGGCGATCTTTGGACTGTAAGTATGGGTGTAGCCACCAGGGCCAGGTCCTGGGAGTCCAGGTGGGCCGGGCTTGCCTGGTTCTCCAGGGGGCCCCGCTGGGCCAGGGAGGCCTGGAGGTCCACGATATCCTTGCTTCCCCCTTCGGCCTATGAAATCCGGTGCTGGGGAGACTGCAGCAAGTTCCTGGCTGTTCTGTGTCACTGTGTATCGGTCACACACCATCTTGCAACTCCCCAACATTTCATAGTGGGTGCCACTACCGAGACCTCCTGATTTTGTGTTGTGAACCAAGAGGGGAATGGCAACTAAGAGCACCAGAACCATGGCTACACCTACAGCAGCCCCAATGGTATGCTTTCGGCAACTCAGCCAGGAGGCAGCCAGCGTGAAAAAGATTTCTTCGCCTTGGGACGTAATGGTGCTGGCTGGACCTAACCACGTGCACAGAGTGGCCCAGAGACCATCATATGAGATAAAGAAGAAATGGAGGAATGAGACATGGAATTGGCAGACGAATTAAAGAAAAATATAGCTAAAAGAAGAGATATAAAATGTCAACAGGGAGAAAATATAGAGTATCAAAGAAGGGGGGTGAAAATTTGAGGATGAAAGTGAAGAGAAAAGGTATGGATTGAGGACTGATAAGACAACCTGTAAAGGTCTGGTGAAAGTAAAGGACAAAAATATGGGTTAATAGGTGGAGAAGTGGGAACACCAAAGAAATAGTGAGGCAAGCTGTTTTAGGGAAATGGGGAAAATGGATGTTTTCTGCACAAGAATCTGGCTTTTGTTTTGTGAGATGCTGCAAAAATCAATGGGAAAAAATCCTCAGTTAAGTGTGACAAAATCTCCATTTCTCCATTTCCTTATCTTACCTTGTCCACTTGCTAACTTCTTTAAAAGGCACAACTCTTTATTCTACTACTTCCAGCATCAACTTCTCCTTGATATTGTCTTTTTCAGGCTTTGTGAGATATCTGCTATTTCCTTTCCAGCCAAAGGTACTGGGGTATTGTTGGTTGTAGCAAGAAGATCTGGGGTAAGAAAAGCCCTTGAGATAGGGATCGTGTTAAACCGTTACTATTTCGATATTGTTCGTATTAAATTACCAGTTACAGGTTACAATACAAACATGAATTCATTTCATTGGATCCGTTTGGACGTGTTTTTTTCCAAAAAGGGGAGAAAACAAAACCAAAAAGTAAAATTGTAAAATATTTTGCGAGATTATTCACTGTTTCACCTCAGTGTTTTTGGCAGAAGCCCTGCTGGAGTCCGAAGCAAAGTACAGTTCTGATGATGGTTGTTGCCGAATTCTTCAGTCGAGTGTCTTTTACTTTTTATCTTTCAATCCTTCATAATAGCACATCTTGTGGCACCTTAAATCCCCACACGTTGAGGAAAAATAGGAGCTTATTAATGAAATCCCACGCTCTTAATTGTTGCATATTAAATATTATAATTAAGTAGCTTTTATACACGTATAGATAATATATATTTAAAATAACGTTGTTCATATTTATACGTTTTATAAAAAGCGATTAACGTAATGAAGAGAATAATCGCTCCACAACTGCACTGTCACATAGGAAGACAGACAAGCCTAAGCCATTCCGTTAGGCAAGTATAATCATCAAAGAAAAGAAAATCCACAAGTGCCTAAATGTTTAGATGTAAACAGGCCCTCACTTTTACATCTTGTAAAATGAAATGAATGTTGCGTATATATTAAAAGCTTATAAAAAATATTTACTTAGATCTTGGCTATTCAAATAGTTATCATTTCAATAAAAAAAACCAAAACGAGCGTTTGTTTTATTTATATTATTCAAATTGTAAAGAGATGCATTTATATTAAGTATAAAAGTAAAATGACACATCTATTTTACTTGTTTTAAGAAAAAAATGAGAAACGAGAGATATATTTTATGAATTGGTTTAAATTTACCTCTATTCATTTCTTATGCATAATTCTCCTATATTCACGCACCAAATCGCTCTTACCAAGCATACATACTACTTTAAACGGATAACAAACTGTCTTACCTATTCTCTGTCTGCATGTACGTAGCGACGATCTTTCTCCCGTCTCCTTCCTTTCTTGCCAGCGCGCTGCAAACACGCGAAGGCTCGTCTAAAACAGAAACGCACGCAGATATATTGTTGAGCGACTTGAGCCAAGGAGAGCGTGGAAGAGTAAAACAGGTTGTGGAGAAATCCCGAGTTATATGATGGATGCAGCAGCTGCCTATACACACACGCACACACACACACACACACACACAGCCGCGGGAAAAGATTAAGACACCATGCTTCACTCATCTCTCAATTTATGTGTGTGCGTCTGTGGAAAAAAAATAATTAATAACATATATATTATTTATGTTTCTCATAAATAAAAGGCTTCCTCCTTGCTTTATGGGGCTTCAGTCCTGCTTGTAGAAGCTTGATACAAACTGTCCTAGGAGTGCACTTCACACCTGCACTTAATGTTTCCCATTCCTTTTGAAGGTTACTTGAATTGACAGTTATCTCTGGCATTAGAACGTCGCTTCTGCCCTTTGCCTCGCTGGTTTTAGGTTATTTCCAGTGTCTCCTGCTTCACCTTGTTCTTGCGTACTGCTGTCTTTGACCCTGGAATCAACCTGCTGCTCAGCGTAGCCTTCTGGCAGCATAACCACGATTAAACCAGGATTTTAAAATGCAGATTTGTTTAAAAACAATTTTTTCCATGGCATTTTTTTAGCCAAGGGAAATATATATTTCATGTACAGTGAAATCTCCCTTATCCGGACAGTCTAGGGTTGGTGCGTAACAGAGTGATAGGGGAAGGGGACGTAGAGTAAGGGAACGACAGGGTGCGATGGGCAAGGGAACACATGTGTACAAAGGGGTATTTTTTAAATATATTTTTCTGTTTTTATTGACACGCTACGGACACAGAACAAATAAACCCGATGCAAAAGGACTCAGGAGTGACTATAGCGAAAACAAAATCCAGCCTCTGAACGCAACCCAAAGCTAACTTATCTAAGTGCAGAGAAAACAAAAAACACAACGACAAATTCTATACCTTACTCCCTATTCAAACAACGGCATACAACACAAGCTCCCTATGCACCTCACACACATACATGTAGGGTAAACATATCCTTATGGGGACCGCTCATTCATTTCAATGGGAAAAATGCTAACGCTAACAATGACAACCTTAACCCCTACCCTGCCCTAACCATAACCATAAGTAACCTAACAAAATACAAGAGTTTTTGCATTTTTGTTTTTTCATAGCAGTCACCGATTTTTATAAAATAGAGTTTTCCCTTATGGGGACCAGGAAACCGGTCCCCATAAGAAAAAAAAACGGATATTTATGACGTTATGGGGACATTATGTCCCCATAGGATGGGTGAGCATTGTTGTTGACATTATGCGAGAGTTCAAAACCAAATAGCAAGTAAACCAAAGCGAAAATCAGAAATCCAATAAACCAAACAAATCATACACAGCAATATCCATCAAAGAAAAGCAAACCAACAACAGTAATCATATAAATTAATCAAAATAAGTGAGCAGAGCTCCCGAGACATCTTGCGGTCAGCTTTACACTTCGGAAGACAGAAGTGACGAATGCCGCATATGGAGAGTTGTGGGCGGAGTCTGCACGTGGAGGCGGAGCGAACGTCGAATGGAGGGCGAGCTAAAGGACGAGGCTGTGGGCGGAGTCTGCACGTGGAGGCGGAGCGAACGTCTAATGAGGGCGAGCTAGAGGATGAGGCTGTGGGCGGAGTCTGCACGTGGGGGCGGAGTCTGCACGTGGAGGCGGAGCGAACGTCGAATGGAGAGCGAACTAGAGGACGAGGCTGTGGGCGGAGCTGAACTTACAGAGGCGCGTAAAACTGTGCGAAATGCATGGCTTCAAAAAGGAAGCGTAGTGTCATGTCCGTCTGAAAGAAGCTCGATATCATTACAGAGATACGAAAAGGAAAATAACACAGAGTTGTTGCAGACCATTTTGGAGTGGCTAAGTCTACGGTAGGCGATATTTGGAAGAGTAAAGAAAAAATCATCCAGCTCACTTGATGCTGGTTAAAAACTGGATAACCACTGCAAGAATGAAACGGGATGATTCGCTAGCTCAGACTGAAATAACATCCTATTATAAGCCTTGCACCTCATAAATATCATGTAGTCTGTATGTGTACACATGTACATATACGTTGTACTGTACTGTTCATGCATTACGTGCATCCCTCGGTCCCATTCTGCCCGGATAAGGGAGGTTTGACTGTGTATTCGACGTTAAATTAAAAATTAGCTTACCAGGATGATGTATTCATTTGAATATTTTTAAAATGACTAAATGAATTGGTAACCACCAAAAAAAAAATGGGTACGAATTAACAGTTACATTAAGTAACAGTCCTTATGATTGAATGGGATTAATATGAATGATGTAATTTCTTTGTATTTTTTCATGTAAAAGTTGCCACCATGCTCCGGCATACTTGGACAGCTGTGAGATGTTTGTTTTCATGCCCTAGTGTAGCCAACCATCTAGAGTGAAATTAGGCAGCACAAACACTTTAAAAATACTAACAGTTGGTGTCAATACAGAAACTGCATTACTTTTCATGTTTCAGTTCCACTATCAAATCCACTGTTTACTCATTTTCCTTTTATTGTGAACCATTCTCCTTCAGTATTTGCGATCCAAAAAAAAACTTATTTTCTGTCAAGGTAGATGGTCTCTGTTTCTTTACTTGATATAATTTTTTGCTCTCCTTCAGACCAGGGGTGAAGAACCACAAGACCGATGTCCTTCCTAGTCAGTTTGGGGAGGAGGAATGTAAAGGTGACCCATTAGTTTGTGGAGGAAGTAGAGGCACTGTTAGGCTTTCGTTGCCAGTGATGCAGTGTTCTTCGACCAGGAGAGGTTCTCTGAGGTTTGCACCCCTAAAAATTTGGTGTTTCTCACCCGCTCTACAGTAGTACCATATTATGATCAGTGGGGGGTGTTGGGTGCATGATTTCCTGAAGACGATGATAATCTCCTTTGTTTTGTCGACATTTAAGAGGAAATTGTTGCTGTTGCACCACAAGGCTAGTTGGTTTACCTCATTCTTATAGTTGGTCTCATCATTGTTGTTGATGAGACCCAGCAAAGTTGATCATCCTCAATCTTGAAGAAGAGGTTGGTGCTGTAGTTATGGGTGAGCAAGGTGAAGAGCAGGGGACTGAACACACATCCTTGGGGCACCCTTGTGCTCAGTGTGATGGTGCTGGATGTATTGTTGCTAACTGCTTGTAGTCTCCCAGTGAGGAAGTCCTGCAACCAATTACAGAGAGATGTTTAGTCCCAGCCGGTCCAGTTTCAATATCAGCTGTTGAGGATTGATGGTATTGAATGCTGAGCCAAAGTCTACAAACAACATTGAGAGTCACAAGAGAGTCTTTAGATCCAGGTGGGTAAGGCCGTAGTGGAGAGCAGAGGAGATTGTATCATCTTGCCTTGTTGGCCCAACATGCAAACTGAAAGGGATCCAGGGTGTTGGGAAGAATGGGGGTCAGTGAGACAGGGCAGTAGTCTATGAAACAGGATGGAGATGCCTTCTTTGATACGGTTGATGGCAGTGGCTTTAAAGCATGCGGGGACAACAGCCTGGCTCAAGGAAGTGTTAAAAATCTTTGAGCGGACCTCTAGGCCGTTTCCCTCCGTCTCCTACAGCCTGAAATGTAGAAAGGCACAGAACAAACAAGGATCAGCGATGATAACTACAACAGTAAGGGAGTAATAGTGGCACTAGCAAATCAAGTTTTCCAGTGTTTAATAGCCATCAGGCTTACTGTTGCAATCTAGGCATTAGCATTACTGGATCTGAAGGCAGTGTTCTGGTCCCTCAGCAGATTGTGAACCTCCTCTGTCAGCCATAGCCTCTGATCAGCCCATTTTTGATGGTCCTGGTGTCACATCGTCAATGCATTTGGTGATGTAGGACATGACAGTCTCTGTATATTCCTGGAGGTTGGTTTGTTGATTGTAAGTGACTGCCTGCTTGACCGTGCCCCAGTCTGTGGTGTTAAAGCAGGCCACATCTGTACCTGCTTCCAAACTGGTTTAATTGCTTTCACCCTTTTTATGCTGGTATTAGCATAACAGTGCTGTGGTCAGAAAAGCCAATGTTAGGGAGGGGTGAAGATCTATATGCTCCTTTCTGTGTTGTGTAAACCAGGTCTACAGTATAATTTCCTCTTGTTGGAAAATCAACGTGCTGGTGTGTTTTTTTGGAAGCACTGATATAAGGTTTGCATGATTGAAATCCCTGGCTGCAATGAGCACTCACACAGGTTAACTCCTCTGTTTACACAAGTGAACAGAAACCACAACCAAGTCAGTGTGCTTGGGCTGGGCGGAGGTTCCAGAGCTTGGGGGGGGGGGGGTGNGCCTCGGGTTCAAGGACGAAAGCAACAGGGGGGCTGAACACGTGGCGTCCTGGACGTCAGGAAGCAGGGTGAAACCTTGCAGGCCAATCAGGATCAGGGCTGAGGAGGAAACAGGACAGAGAACAAGAATCACTCACTCAGGTAAGCATGGCTCTTTTAAGATGTTGGTCCTGGGTGCAGTTGATTCCCAATGATTAGCTGTCCTGCTCCTAGGATGGGATGACAAGTTTCAGTCCATGCTAGTAGTAATACTAACAATTTAACCTTATCTATTGGTTAGGCCTGATGTGGTTATGAAGAAACATTGCTGTAAATTAAGTAACTTTTATGTAGAATTCAGTCGAAGGATGTCAACTTTTTAACATTTTTATGGTCGTTTTGAGCATGTGAGTCACATTGACAGCAGGTGCTATTCATATTATCATAATCCCCCTTGTCAATCATCAAGCCACTCCCTGACATCTGGAAAACAGTCCTTGTACTATTATTCTTAAACAGTGATGGTGTATGGGGAATCACCAAGCCAATTTTTATGTGCAAATGCCAGTCAAGCAGCTTGCAGGCCTTCCCGGCCTTCTCTAGAGAACACAGCAATGATGTGCCAGTTGAATAATTTAGCAGCACTGCTCCACTAAATCTCAAGGGTCACAACCTTCTAAAGTGAAGACAGGAAGCACAAACCAGACCCCTCAACACTACATGCTGTATCATCTTATTTACTGCTTCTCATGTTGACCAGCTAAAACAAACTCCATAATCTCTGAAATATATTTCCATAAATAAATCAATGGAAAAGATAACAGTGGCTTTGTAAAAAAAAGTTCGTCAAGTTTTACTTACATTAAAACCAACAGGTATTTATTACACAATATGAGAATTTTGCTATATCTCTTTATAAAAAAATATCACCTGTTTTTTGTGTTTAATCCCACCTTCGGTGGTGCTTCAGTAATTTGGATTAAATACCTTTACAACATTTTCTGTTTACAGTTTTTACACACTGAAAAGAACCCTCAATATTGGCAAACGCATACAGTTCTTGATTACACTTGGTTCTAAAATGCTCTCTGGGTGATCAGATCGCAAATGGACAAGTTTAAATGACCACCAAGATGCAGTGCAATCCAATCACGCAAACCACGTGCCGAGGTGGTCTGGGACACATTTGACCACATTTCTTTTGTAAGTGTAAATGCTAATGCATCATAATGTATCCACAACAAGAACTTCACAATAACTGTGTGCGGGGCAGTAACGAGATCTGAACGGAAGTGATCAATGGACACCTCGGAGAAGCCTGATAGACACAATTGAATACATCCAAATGTAAACAGCGGCTTAAGGAGTCAGACTTTTAGACATATTTGTGTTTTTCTATAATAGTCCCTTGCTCTTGCAAACAAGGAAAATGTTTTATGAACTTTTATATATTTATAGCCAGGGATGGACAAAACTGGTACACAAGTACGCATTCACCTTTAAAAATCCTTTTAAAATCGATTGTTGTAACAGTGTAAATGCGTACTTATTTTATGTGCATTTGCGCTAATATGAAAACAAAAAATAATCGATTGTCACACATATCATTTTTAAAGGTGACTGCATAATTGCGTACCAGTTATATCCATCCCTGTTTTGAGTTACATGCCTTCTCCCCACACTTTACCCAGAAAAGAAGACGTAGCCGTGCAAGAACTCTAGGGCCCAATGTTAATGTGTCCCAAAAGACCTAACCTTGAACCTTCACAGACTTAATGTCACCCAGTAAGTGAATGTGAGAGGCTGCAAAAGGTCGAAAGGGTATAAAAAGGAATGGGACTCCATGTTACGACATATCACAGTACCTTGATAATGCCAAAATATGTTCCTTACTATTACAGGTTTGGGGCTTTTTAAGATTCACACTTTCTTCACCACTTAAGAGACTGACTGCCATATTTGAATGTGTTCCAGTCTTATGTCTTACAGAGTGGGTGAGAAGCAGTTGTCAAATTATCAGTTTACTCTTTCTTTGTTAAAACAGCATCATTAAGTATAAATTAAAAGAAATTATTTACCTTTTATACTTCTGGGCATCCCCTGGTAACCCCATGTTTCACATCACATTGTTATGTATTGTGGGTAATTCCCTCTGACACAGTCTGCAGAAATACAGACTTATGGATGTGAGAGATATCTGTGAGAGAGTCTGTGACAGATGTCTGTGAGAGAGCCATCATGTACTAGACGATTTGATAGTAGGCCAGCCCTAAGCCCTCAAGCACTTAGTGGGAGCACGCCTAGTAGTCTGTGAGTCTGCGATCGTGGACATTGGGATTGGGCACAATTCATAAAGTAAGAAAAGAGAGTTACACCCTCAATTATTCTGCCAACAAGCAAAAGCAAAATGCGGAACATGGTCTCTTTAAAATATATTGAGAACTAGAGGTCGACCGATATATCGGCCGGCCGATATATCGGGCCGATATTTGGCTTTTTTTAATGTATCGGCATTGGCCGATATGCTTGTGTAGTACGCCGATTTACAGACAGGTACGACTGTGGGCAGCCCAGTGTTATTGTTGCTATGGAACACGTGACCCATGCTGCCTTGTGCAGGACCCCTGCCAGAAGTTTTGGAAGAGTCCAGAGAGAAAACGGTAAGGCTTAAATTCTGATCTTTCAAAGACCTATTTATTTAAGTGGTTTGATATGAAATGTCGCTTTAAAAGAAAACACGAGCGCTTTTGAAAGAGAACGCGAATTACACTGTCGGGAACTGCCGTAAATCGTCAACCAACTGTAGCTTACAGGAAAAGTTAATGATAATTGATTTAGACATTTAGTTTTGTGCGCTTGTTGGTGGCCTCACAGACGTTTCTTTAATCGTTAAAAGTCATTTTAATTGTTAATTTTAATTATTACCATATCAGCCCGATGTTATCAGTTCTGTTTTTTTTCTTGTGTTGGAGAGTTTCACTCTGTGTGTGTGTGGGGCGGAGCAGGCAGCTCTCTCACACACTGCAGCATATGTGAGAGTTGCGTTACTCTGCCCGGATCACAGACAGCACCGTCCTCGGGGACACAGCTGTTAAGAACAATGCATGGCGGAGAAAAGTGTTTGTTCGAAAGCGTGGTTACCATTTACTTGAGCTGATGCTGACAATGGTCCTTCTGTGCAACTTGTTTGCATTTGAGAGCGGAGATTCGAACAGTTTGTCAGACGTCTAGATAAAAAGTGCACGACTTTGCGCTTAGTTTCCTCATTAAAAGGAGGGTGGTGCTTGAAATCATTGTTCTTCCTCTGTTAACCATGGTTACTTGCAAGGAAACACATGCAGTCGTCATTGCTTTGCACAAAGGGCTTCACGTGCGAGAATATTGCTGCTAGTAAGATTGCACCTATCGGATCATCAAGAACTTCAAGGAGAGAGGTTCAGTTGTTGTGAAGAAGCCTTCAGGGCACCCAGAAGATCCAGCAAGTGCCAAAAGCACAGTCAGTACACATGGGGCTCTGTTTTGACAATGTAGCACAAAGCGTAAAATGCAAAGTGGAACTAACAGTTATTACAAATCCATTTCACTATTTTGACAGTGGAAAAAACAGACTTTGCGTTAGTGTAAGATGCAAAAAGGTTGTCCAAACACTTAATTATTAGTGCGTTTTGGCCATAACATGGAATGTACCAATCAGAATGGTGCGTCACCTCACCTTTAAAAGGCAGCGGTGCATAATCTAAGGTGGATTGCTCTTACAATAGTTATTTTGCCCGGCAAAAAAGATCGCTTTTCGTCCGAGCAAACGGACGTGCTCATGCGCAAGGTGAAAATGTATGGAAGCACTACTGTTCCACCAAGCAGGCGTGGGATGAGGTAGCAGCGAGTGTGTCCTCATGTTCTGGCATCACCAGATCATCTGTGCAGTGCTGAAAATGGTATAATGATGGCAAAAGACGGGGAAAGCAGAAGCTCAATGCTGAACAAGACCAGCGTCTGGGAACGGGGACTTAATTATGCTTGTGTTTTTTAATTTTAAGTTTGAGTGTGCAGTTTGCAAAATATTAATAAAAGTACGTGCTGTCTTTGTTGAAACAAAACACAACCTACAGTTTTTAAAATGTTCAAATAAAAGGCAACATGGCTCTTATGATTCTGAATCTCACAATTTAAATTCCTTACCAGGCTACAGGTGATTCAGCTCTTCTGCCCGCTGATCTCTCCTTGCCCGCGCTGATCACTCCTTTGTTGGCATCGGCACATGCAGTTCAGCATCAGACCTTCTAACTCTGTGTCCTCATTTATGTCCAACAGACATCCATTAAACATGGCAATGTCACGCAACATACAACATGCCACAAAGAATGTTGCAACCTTCTGAGGGCTGTACTGTAATCTTCCACCTGACTTATCTCTATCTGAAATGCATTTTCAGCGATGCTGAATGTCCTTTGAATTGCAGTATGTGCTTAATTCTGATAATGACCTTAAAGGGTTTTTTAATGATACGGTTTGTTCTTTACTTAATATGTCTTGTTTTGGTGTTTTATTAAAATGTATGATTACGTGAAAGGACCAGATGTACTCTATAATGAAAAATAAATGAATATAAATTAAATAAAATAACAAAAAACCTTTAGTTCACCTGGAGCACATACCTGTGTCAATAACGAGCATTATGCACCGCCTCAATGTTTGTAAAACGCGCTCCTTAAATACTATTTAACAATGCGCCACTGTCTTTAGACATAGTTTTTGTTGGCCAAAAGCGCAATGTCATTTCTATGCCTTAAAATAGCAACGAGCCTGAAATGCGTCTGGCCACGCCTCCTTAAGATAGCGGACGTGAAATCATGTGCTGCTTTGACAACATGCAGGCATGGCATGAAAACGAGCAGCGTGACTAAATGTGCAACTGTCCTTTAAGTAAAATTCCATCGAAATTATACAAGAAAAATAAGTTACACTATGAAGAATGATCCCATGGAAACATCAATACTTTGCATCCTTATTATAGTTAGGCTTCGCAAATCTGAGTACCTATGATTAAAACTGAGGCTGTGACTTTCCTACTTAATTAGCCGCTGTGGAGTTATGCTTTATAATGTGTGAATTCTGCCCAAGTCTGCTCTAATCATGGGTGATAATAAGGGCTTTCTTAAAAGGCTACAGTCATCCTGTGGTGTGTAAGGTGTGATCTTACCATATAGTTAAGGTACAGGCTGTACTCATAAGTGCTTTTTTAACTTCTTTTTTTGAAAGTGTGTGTCATCAAGATTGGAACATAACTGTCTCTTTTTTTAAACCACTTCTCTCTTTCTCTGTATCTACATCTCTCTGCTTCTCTTGCCCATGTTCTCACTACCAGTCTTTCACCTGGCTTTTCTCCCTCTGGGGGCAGTTTTCCTTTCCCTTCTCCCCTCCATCTTCCCCATCTCTCTCTCCCTCTGTCTCTCTCTCCTTCCCTCTGAGCTGCTTGTCTTATGTCATCTCTTCGCTACTAGTACCTCCATCGCATCATTGCACCATTATTATTATTAATTATTATTATTAGCACTGGATCTCAAAGGGAACACCTCTGGGTACCTTGTTGCAGAGTCATACAGATGTTAATGCTGTGGAATGATGTCTGTATGCTTGAAGGAGAAACAAACTGAAAACTGTGGGGCACCAGTGAACTGGCTTGATATGGTGATGGACTGTGCTCCAGTTAGTCTAGCCAGAGAAGAACACTTAGTGGACCCCCCCCCCCCTCCAAACAAAAAAAAATTCTCACTCACACAACTGGGGTGTTTCTGTTTATTCTTTTGGCATATTTTATTGCTTGTTCTTTTCATTTCTTCATAAGGCAGAAAATTGCAGTTGATGTGCAAATGTTGAAATGTTTGTTTTTCCTAATTTGAGCTGCTCAAAGTGTGATGTGGAATGTGGAGACTGGAGTAGCAGGGATAAGAATTTTAAATGATTCTCATGTCCTTTCTTTAAAACTAAGAGAGTGTGCTTATTTCTCCTGGTTATAAAGTGGAATCTGCATGTTAAGGTTAAATAGAAGCTGATGGTCACTAAAATTATATTGATGGATACTAAAATAGTCAAAAAGGAGCAGAATATAGAGAATAGCTTAATATTAAGCTACCTGGGGACTCCCTTCATTGCACCAACTTGAGAATCATATCTTAGTGGAGTGGAAAGGTGTACAGTGGGCAGTCCAACCTTAGCGTATATTATCCTCATTATTGGCTGAGGTGGGAGGGCTCTTGTGCTACGGGGATTCTTGTGTCTACAGTCAGTAATCACCAACATTAACTGATCACCTGTCCGACTTCTCCAACAAGCAGACGATATTCATGCCAAGCCTCTCAAATTGGGGGCCCATGGATGAAGGGATTGGAGGGGAGCTCACAGAGATCTTTTGGTACACTGGGCAACTCCTATAAAACTGGGCTACATCTGCCCTCAGACTATAACATCGGGCTGATATGGTAATAATTAAAATTAACAATACACTGTGAAATTTCATAGTAAAATTGTAAACTTGTTTGACAGCTTTATTATGTACTTTCACAGTTCAACCATGATTTTTTACAGTGAATTGGCACACTTTTCACGGTTCTACTGTGAAATCTACAGTCAAACTGTAAACTTCAGTCAGAATTATTGAAACACCAGAAGACGTGACCATGAACTTCAAAGTAAAACAAAAGTTTACAGTTCTACCACGAAACATTCATGGTTGAACTGTAAACTTCATATTAGAGCTGTGAGTAATTAAAATGTAACTTTAAACTTTTACTTTTACTGTGAACTTACACAGTGTATTTTTTCTGGGGAGTAAAAGTTAATTCCAGCTGACGTTTTGTGTTTCCCTAGGTGCGCAGTTTAGGGAATATTCCCTGCTGTAGAAAGTAACTTTCTATAGTGTCACCAGTGCCTCCTCTCACTTTGCCTCTCCAAGCAAGAAGCTAGATTGGTATTCTCCTGCTGCAACTGAATGAGGTTAGTTGGTAATTTAACACTCTGGGACAAGTCTGAACTAGATGCACCTGGCAATACAGAAGCTTTATATGCCTGTTTCCCAGTCTTCTCTGTCTTCTGGGCCTTTAAGGTGCTACGTCTACATCAGTATCAAAAATAGGAAAAGCAGTAGATAAAATTTTGGCTGCTTCTTCTGGCTGTTTAGCTTTTGCCTCGGTGACCTCATCTGCACCAGCTGCACATTACTCATCTGCACCAGCTGCAACAAGTCCAAGGGAACTGGTATATCAAGCCCCAAGACCACAGGGAATGGTCGATTGTCTGCCATACTTACATTCATAAGATAAGGTCTGGCCCTGTACCTTAATGTCTGCCGTGGGTAGTAGTTTGTGATCACCATGGACGTAGCAGACAGGAAGCTTGTCACAGGGACTTACTAAGTTGGTAGAATAAATTACCCATGAACCAGTGTCTGGTCACTCCCAATGTCAATCAGAGCAGTGAGCTGTTTGCTGTTAACCCCCTAAAGACAGTTGCTGCTACACTGCATCTATGCATGTAACACACTTACATAAGCTCAACTGCGTTCTTAAGGCATACTGGTTTTGTGTGGTCACGACCTGCATCCCTTCCCCCTCGTTCTCTCCGTTGTGTGGTTCTAACAAGCCACACCTGTTACTTGTTTAATCTTGTCTCTCTAAAGCCCTCGTGTGGATCACCCCAGGTGCCTCTCGTCTGCTCCCTCATCAGTGACGTGTTTATAGTGCCTCCCTGTCTTGAGATCCCCAGTCCAGTCATTGATGTTGCTGCCTGCATGCACTCCCCTTGTGGCCTGTGCTCTTACTTGATCCTCCCTATCCTGTTTTGACTTCTTGTGGTCCATTTTCCTTTTGCCCTGCCTGTAATTTAATTTTAAAACACCCCCTTTGGTTTTCCCCATGCCTGCCTTTGCCTCTGTACTTGCCTGTGACGTGACAGGCCCTCCTGACCACACAGATCTTTTCCTAGAAGTCCCAGGTGTTGTCACAGCTACCAGATTTCCTGTCATGGGAGGCTTACCCATCCCAGGTGTATCCTTTTGATGTTGGTGGGGGCCTCTCAGTCTGCAGCGGTCTTTGCCAGCTTTCTAGCTGCAGGATTGGTTTTTATTCTGTGTCACCACAAGTACATCTGTCTGTGATATTGCCTCTGCTGCTGCTTCAGGGTCACACTCACAGACCCAGACCTGAAGTTCTGAAGTACTGCTCAAGAGTAATTATTTTTCCTTCAGTTTCTTAACCAATTTACCTTGTGGTCAGATCCACTTCTTATAGATTTCCTTTAGCCTGGCATGCAGTTATTTTGGGTTCTCTGCAGGTTTAATGTCAAAGGAGAGGAACCTTTGCCAGTGTGTCTCTATATTGATATTATACTTCCTTAAAATGGCAGATTTAACCTCATCATCATGAACATAAGCCACTGTGGCTTACCAGTTAGCAGAGGAATCAAGCTGAAAACCCAGTCTGACAGACTACTGCAATCTTTCCAAAAGTTAGCAAAAATGCTCTATATCATCTGAATCAAACAACTATTCCAGTTCTTTAGGTGGTAACTGACCTGCATTGCTGTGAATGGGGTGAGGGCCTCTCTGGTAGAACACAGCTTAGGAAGACAAACAGCTGAAACCAGGGTCTGCGTTTCCATCCTGCATTTCCAAGTGGTCTAAGTCGGCCAGAGACTGAGGACTGGAGCAGTGCAGACTTACCCCTCCACTTAGTAGTCTAATCTGATGCTGAAGTGCCTTAAAATGCCACTCCTGCTCTGCATGCTTCTGACTCCAAATAACCTCCTGAGCCTCTGCTTATGCCATTTGTGCCCATAACAGGCTGCTCAGATCAGCAGTTCACTCTCTGCTCGAAGACTCCTTAGCTGCAACCCCTCTCTCTTCTTCGATCTACATCCTCCTCCTCGAACCCTTCGTTTTGCTGCACCTATAAGGCAGTCCTCTGTGCTATCCTCTTTCCAGCCCGATCCATGACTCTTGGACTGGGAATGAGTACCAAAACAGGAAGGGGGGGGGGGGGGGGCTGCACCCACTTCTAGCTGATCCCACTACACCACTTTAGCTGAGAGAAGAGCATCTCAGAATGCAGAACACATCGAACCTTGAGGCGCATTGGCTACAACAGCAGAAGACCATGTCTGGTTCCACTCCTGTCAGCCAAAAACAGAAAGCTGATGCAACAGTGGGCACAGGCTCACGAAACTGGACAGTTTAAGACTGGAAAAATATAGACTGGTTTAACATGTCTTGATTTCTGCCGAGGCATGCAGTTGGTAGATCAGAATTTAGCATTAGCAACATGACACCACACACCCACCCTGTCTTGTTTCATTGTTGTATAATGGTGTGGGCAATGTTTTCTTGGCACGCTTTGAGCCCATTGATACCAATTGATCATTGCTTGAATGCCACAGCCTGTTTGAGTATTGGTGACTGTGTGCATCCTTTTATGGCCACAATTTACCCAACTTCTAATGGATACTTCCAGCATAATAGACCTACCGGATAATACTGAACCATCCATAGACACCACATATAACATGATTTTTGTGTACATCGAAATGGTAAAGTTTAATTGATAAATTACACACAGTAAGACATTACCAACACTAAATACAGAAATAAAGTAAATTGAACAGTATTATACAGTAATGAATTGTACTGTACTCTCTCAAATGAAAGGAATTCAGACGTTTTACCCTAATTCTCAAGAAACGATATAGCAATGAAAAATGGCAAGGGATGGCAGAGCAAGGTAAATCATGCTTTTTATACCCCTTAAAGAACGAAGGAAACATGGAAAAATACAGGCTACTGTTACAATATTTTTCATTGTAAAATGTGTATCATATACCAGTACATAACCAGTAATGAGAAAAAATTATTTTATATTATTTTAGCCTATTCTGGGTACTCACTGGTTTATAGCCTGTACTCGCTTGGCACACAGTTTGAAACTTATGAATCGTTTCTAGAATTATTAAACTTTATGATTCGAACTGCGGGGAACTGCCGTGGATATGGGGGCCTCATTGCACATCACGTCACAAAGCAAAAGTCATCTCAAACAAGTTTCAGGAACATGACAATAAGTTCAGTGTTCTTCAGTGGCCTCCCCTGTCACTGGATCTGAATCCAGTAGAACACCTTTGGGATGTGGCACAATGGGAGATTTGCAGCATGGATGTGCAGCTGACAAATCTGCAACATTTGCAAAATCCAATCATGTCAGCATTGAGCAGAACCTTAAAGGAATATTTCTAACATTTTGCCGAATCCATACCACAAAAAAACTGAGGCTGCTTTGAGAGCAAAACGAAGCACCACCTAGTATTAGTACAGTGTTCCTGATAAAGTGTTCAGTGAGTGTATATTGTAATGTTAATGATATTAATACACTCTGGGGCACCTTTATTAGGTTCCGCTATGTAGTACGAGGTGGAACCCCCTTCAAAGGTTGATGAATTGCATGTTCAGAGACACATGCCACTTTTGTACTATAACAAGTCTGGCCATTATCCTCCGACCTCTTTCATTAATAAGGGGATTTCAGCCACAGCAGCACCATTGACTAGTTGTATTTATTCATCACATCATCCTCTGTAAACACTAGATACAGCAGTATGTTGAAAGCCCAGGAGGACGGCTGTTCCTGTGTCGCTGGGATCACTTTAAGATCACTTAGATCTCACATCTTAGGCATTCCAAATATGAAAAGAATATTGTAATACTTAATTTGGATAGTCTGCCTACAGAGGGTACACAGAGTATTTGTAACATTTCATAATCAAAGCTGAAGGCGGTCCAATGAAAAATTCAAATGGCGACTTCTGGCTCAAATATGGAAACTATATTCAGTAATAATAGACCATCTATAGACCATAACTTGTGCCATGAGATTAAATCGCCTGAACAATTTCCACACCCTAATTAATACTCATTCCTCTCTGTGTGTGCAGTCAACCAGCCTGATATTGTGTTTCATAAATACTTCTGCATTCACCTTGGGTGACTGGTGGTGCTTCACTTTTAAGTGGAATTGTGATTTTTGCTGTCCTGAATGTTCTATCTGTTCTTTTACTATAATGCTACACTAAGCATAATAGTTTGTTTTATTTGTTGTATCTGTGAATGTTCACGTTAAGCTATTGCACCACTTTGAAGTGGAATTTTGATTATATTACTCATTTTTAGTGTTCCAGTTTTAATAATCCAATGCTGCACTAAGTGTAATTGAGGGTTGTTTATAAAGATATATTATAGTTTGTTAAATGTATTTTATTAAAAAAAAAATTAAATCAGTAAAAAACCCATTAAGGAACAGTTGGATGCAGGCAATTTTTTCTTAGTGCACCGCTGAGCTATTTAGTTGTCGAGAATATATGCTGAATTGATTTAAATAACTTTTAATGAACTTGAAGTGTGCACTGTACAACTGTATTACAAGTATCAGATCTTACTCTATTAAGCAATTAAGGGAAAAGGAGTTGCTGCATTTCGTCTGATTGCTGCCCTAAAACCCGGCTACTGCACTTCTTCATGTCTTCCCAGAAATTGAAAAACAGATATTTGCAGTCAATCCCAATGAATTCCCAAAGTCAGTCTAAATGAATTCTGTGCAGCAAATTATGGGGACTAAACAAAATTTTATACATACTGACTAACATCTCAGCTCCTCTGTATTCTCCTTCATACATAACATTTGTGATTTAGCAATGCAATATATATTTTAAAAAGAGTAAATGAGAGATGAATAATTCATTTCAGTCGGTGTGGAAGATGCCGAAGCTTGGGGACATGAATTATTAATTATTTCTGATTAAAGTTTACTGTTCATTACCCCTCACCTCACAGGCAATAAGCTGCTGTCCCTGACTCCTCTGGTCAGTGGCTTCAGCTGCTTCTGATGACAGGATCCTACAGTGGGAGTGTGAGGCATCGTGAAATTGCAGCTTGTAGCTGTCCACCCACAGACCCAGGAAAACTCCAGTGTGCTGCAGCAACTTGTTATTGTTTATCATTGGTTGTTAACAAAAAAAATCAAAGTGAATAGCTGGAAACAGATGGAAATACCAGGGATACTGTAGGGCAGGGTTATTCAAATCACGGTCCTCGAGGTCCGAGCACTGCTGGTTTTCCAGCCTTCCTTTACCTGTCAGTCAGGTGTGAAGCCTCTGACCAATCAGAATCAGTAATTATTAAACTATCTACCTGGGAGAACTGAAAACAAGGCCTGGATTTGGAATCGAGGTCCAGATTTGAAGAACTCTGCTGTAGGAACACATACAACAGGAATTGGGGAGAAGTGTGGCATTTTAAATTGCATTTTAAATTACAAAACACAGCAGACATACACTTCTTTTGTGTCTTATGTCACTTTTTTTTCTGGAATTAGGAATGTATATACACCGATCAGCCATAATATTAAAGCCACTGACAGGTGAAATGACAGGTGATGTGTTAGGAGCAGGGATAAATGGGCAAGCATGAGGAACTGAATGACTTTGACAGAGGCCAAACTGTGATAGCTAGACTACTGGGTCAGAGCGTCTCTAAAAGAGCAGGCCTTATGGGGTGTTCCCAGTATGCAGTGGTCAGTACCTAATAAAAGTGGTCCAAGGAAGGCCAACTGGTGAACCAGTGATGGGGTCATGGGTGCAGAAGGCTCATGCTCCTCTGGATGAATGGAAAAAAATTCCCACATCTTGTGGAAGGCCTTCCCAGAAGAGTGGCAGCTGTTATAGCTGCAAAAGGGAGACCAGCTCCATAGAATGGGATGTCACAGAATTTCCTGTGGTTGCAGTGGCCAGGTGTCCCAATACTTTTGTCCATATAGTGTATGTTCTAAAATGATCATGACAGGTGAACACATCTCTGCAGTGTGCTATGATGTCACAACAAGAAAAAAATAATCATGCCAGATTTTGTTTCCGCCACGTGGGACTTATTTATTTTGGTGCAGGCTAGTTCAGAAGCATAAATTACCATAATTAGTGAGTGGGGAATATGATAAGCCCAGTAATGGAACCCAATAAGCCTGGATTTCCATAGGAACCTTGATGGTATACCCCCCAGAGGTAGATGATGTTCACCCTCTGTTAGACTTATTCAAGTCTCAAATACCCGCTGGTCCGCCATGACTGTTTTGTTAGCAAACTTGACGATTCCGCTTAAAGTGAATGTGACTACATAATCAAAGTGTAAAGGGAGCACAGTAGGAGGCGCAGAACACACCTTGGGAGTTTCTGTGTGTAATTTTTTTGTTGTTTCACCATTAAAATAGGAGGTACTAGACCAGAGGTATTCCCTCTTGCAGGAAGGAGTTTCCAGATCATGTCGTCTGGTGCAGTGGATGTTATGCACAGCCTCCTCGATCTTCTGCTAACGTGTGTGCTACAGAACATTTTAGAGTTTAAGACAATGTGTTAAAACCAGTTAGGAACTACAACATACTGAGGTCAGGAACCAGATGATGTTGATGAACGATTTATTTCTTCATCATTCAGCCTTTTGGGCATCCCGATTACTAAGTCCTTAGTTGTCTGCTAGTGTAGTTTATAATCAATGAATAGAATCCACAACTAGTTCCCCTTCCTATTTTTTAAGTGGGCAAAAATAGTGTACAGGATGAGGGCGAGTGTATCATCTGTAGATCTGTTGGATTGGTAGGCAAATTATAGTGGGGTCAGTGTATCGGGCATTGTGGAGCATATCATTGAGTAGCCTTTCAAAGCTTTTACTGTACTATTGAGGTGAGTGCGACCAGGCAGTAATTTTGATATGCTGAGTGAGTTTTCTTCGGAATGGGGATGACGATGGACTTTTTGAAACATGTCTGTATTCTGACTTGGAACAGTGATGAGTTAAATATATCTGAGAACACCAGAGCTAGTCTGCCAGTAGAGGCTTTAAGGACCCTTCCAGAGATGCCATCTGGTCCTGCTGCCTTTCGGATGTTCACTCTTCTCACGTCATGCTCTGAAAAAGTGATAGGGCTCTGCGTATCAGGTTTACTGTTGTGCTAGGGAGCAACAATGTTGTGATACAGCTTGTATATTGTCTGTAAATTATATGTTCATTGTCCGTATACTGTCTGTCTAATGTGAGCGACGCCATCGACTAGAACCAAATTTCCTTGTGTTAAGATATTTGGCAAATAAATCTGATTCTGATAAGCTTCACAGCTATCGATGGTCAATGTTCGGATGAAGTCCAAGATTGTTGTAAAACGCTCTGATTTCAGCTGTATCATACTGAGTTTTCTCCATACCTTCTAGGCCTCCTTCACTGCCTCACACAAGGCAGTTTTGTAGGTGAATATCCACCCAGTTACAATTTCATAGTTGAAATTCATTCATCCATGGGGGGGGACTCTCTTAACGGCCAGCATACTACATGCACTTCAGGTGTTGAGAAAGAAAAATGTTTTGTGATTCCAACCTGCTGAAACCAATTTTCCATTACATTTGTTTCTAGACTTAGTTCTTCGTGCTACCACTCTTTCAGACTTGCATTTTCCTAATAATTTTAGAAAACAGTTCACTTTATCAGCTACTGCTTTAAATTTAACCTTCTTCGAACACTAAATTTAGAATCATCCACATTTTTAAGGACACTTAATGGATCTGTCCAAGTGAGTCTCCTTTTTTAATGGTCACTAATATGACAACTTTGAAAAGGCACATGTCATTTAAATAGTTTCCTAAAATGGATATAGCTAACAGCAAAAATGCTGGGTTCAACCATGTTTATCTGATCAGTTTAAGTGGGTGTAAGAGATACTTGCTTGATCACAGTTGTCTTTCAGTGTGACTCTCATGGTGGCATGTAGCTCTGCGTGTTACTGCCTGTGAACGAAAAAGTTGCCGGTTCAAATCCCATAGCAGGTGGAGTGATCGCGTCACTGCTGGGCCCTGAACCCCACCTGCTCCGGGGGGCATCAGTAGCCTATTACACTGATATAGCAATCAATGACAACCAGAAACAGCTGGACCGGATTGGCCATATGGAGATTTGGGCACCACATTCTCGGGGGGCACCAAGCAGAGGAGCCCCCCCAAGAGCCCACCCCCCAGCCCCATTCACCAATTCACCAGTTAATGCAATTTAATATGATTGTATGTTGTCCTTTTAATATGGCACTCGTAATGTTTTCCCTATGTTATATGCATTTTTGAGTTTCATGTAGGCAGAGAGGGACAAGGAACCAGCAACTCTGAATACCAGTCAGACTACCAACTGAGCCATAGAAACAGTTGGATACATATACTATTTAACCTCCAGTGATATTTTGCCATATCACTTCACTTGCCTTGTTAACAGTAGTACTGTTGCCTAGCCAGTAATTACATCCTTGTAATCCTCATAAGTACATAACTAGCGTTTGCTCGGCTGTGGCGAACAACACCGCTTTCATTTTGCCTTCTTTTTGTGAAATAATTGCTCAAATCGACAATCGATTGTTCAGGGCTGCTTAAGTACCCTGTTCTCGTGCACAATGAGGGCTTTAACAAGCTTGGCCTGAGTTAATATGAACAAGGTCAGCTGAACCATTTTAATGGAACAGCCTTAGGTTAAAGTGGGAATCAATGGGAATTTAAACCAAGCTTATTCATTTAAGCGCAGTTTTGCTTAGTGACCTTGATGGAATGCCCCCCAAGACCTGCGGAAGGTGATTAAAATACCAAAATGATTTTCTGATGTAATGCACTTGTAGTCCAGTCCTACTTTACAGTCATGTCTAGTGTGCCTCGAGATGATAAGCGAATCCGGCTTTAATAAACAGGAAACACTAAAAAACACTAAAGAAACTGCGTTTCACCCATAATGTAGTTGAATTTCAGAAGGTACATAAAGCTAAATTAATAAAACAATGGCTGAGTATATTAATATATATATATTTTTTTTCAGGTGGTTCAAGTAGGTGGATAATTTTTCAGGGTGAAAAACACGGTTGATTAATTTCCCAAACACCTTAGGAAGCCAAGCTCCTCATAATTCGGTGTAACGTCAGAAATTAGCCGGGAGCCTCTCCCCAAATTTAGCTAGTTTTGTCTGCCCGCACTATATATACATACGGTATTACCGTAATACCAGCCAAGCATTGGACAGCACCCCCGCCTCCCTGGATGCAAATTAGCGTTTTACAGGGTGCGTTGGGAAAACTCATTAATATTCATAAGAGAAGTGCTTCCTGATTGGCCGGTGAATGCCTTAGACTGAAAAAACAGACAGCACATGTTGATGGGAGCATTCACTGGCCAACCAGGTAGCGCTTCTCATAAATATTAATAAGGTGGCCAATCATGTAGTGCTTCTCATGGATATTATTAAGATCTCCCAAACCACCTTGTAAAAAGAAAATTTGCCTCCCACCCCTCATCTGCCTACCTGAAATCAATATCCCTAAGATGGGATGTCTGCAAATACATTTAATTGGAAAACAAAACGATAAAATTGGGAAATCGGTGTAGATAGCCTGCAAAGCATATTAAACACCACAAGGAGGAGACAAGGCACACACAAAAACGTACATGCTTTTTTGCTTAAAAAATTGTAATGAAAAATTCAAAGATCCCCTTACCGATTTTTCTTCCACAAGACAAATGTGCATTTAAAGTTCCCCTGTTTTGTTTTTTTATTTGAAAGAAATTCAAACTAGAATTCCTTTGAAAGAAATGTTGTTTTCCTTAGTTGCTGATTTGGCACTTTAAGCCATTTCCCTTCCATAACAACCTATAACGAAAAGGCCTAAGGTGAATTTGGTAATTTAGCCTTTTGATGATAGCTTCATGCATTTGGTAGCAATGACCAGTGTCTGCTTGTTCTCTTCGTGTTGCAGTTATTTATTGCTTGTACTCTGGTTTCCTCCTTAATCTGACTCGCATCTGTAAATTGCCCGTTTTCTATGACTGTAAGTCTGCCCTGTGATGGATTGGCGTCCCGTCTAGAGTGTACCCCAGCCAGTGTTGCCTACCGGAATTAGGAGACGTATTTTCAAGCAGAATTCATCAGTGTAGACAGCATCACTATATTTGGGCAGGTCACACTTGGTATGTGGAGAACAATCTGCACGCACGCCTACTTGAACATGAATTCCAACCCACTTGACTTGTAGCGAGCAGCACCGCGAAATACAGTGACAGTGTAGGGTTTCGCCAGCGATTTGCATGTAAATAACACAGTCGTATACATAGAATTACCTGCGTAAAGTATCAGTAAATGGGTTAAAGGTTCGCTGCATAATAAAGTGTAATTTTGCCTTTTGGGAAGTTTGTGCAGACATTAAACCATGAGCCGCACGGCACCCCGGTGTAATGACGCGCGCGGTAAGTGACGTGACAGCTGGCATTTCCGTGTTATTGTCCGTCAGACCGAAAACCAGCGACGCTTCAAGGTATTTACAGACCTTTTAACCTTTCATCAAACATGTGCATATGTCTGGTATTAAAGCCAAAAGTCGATTTTAGGTGCTGGAATTACAAGATGTGCTATTAAACCGAAATGACTGTTTCCCTATTGAACTGTGTAGCTTGATAGCTAACCTACGCTAAATGTAAACAGTTTGCAATAGAGTTAGTTGTAAACATGATCGAATATGTAATGTATTTTAATATGACATGTAGGAGGTCGGTTGGTCAAGAATTATTACAGGTAAAAAAACTAGCTGGCAAGTGCGATGGCTATTTATTATTTTATATTTATAAGACGAGGTCCTGCAGACCCTGCCTAAAGGTTCCATTTAAAGGTAACTTGGCCGTTTAGAATGCGAATATGTGCAGCGATTACATTTTTAAACATTTGCAATGTAAGTCATAATAAACTTAATATAATCGAGTGTAGTAGTATTTGCAAACAAAAGCGCTACAATCAGGCCGTATTTGGTTTCATGAACCCTGTCTTCGCCGAAAATATCAGCGACGACTTCTAGGATAGTTTTGCATTGCCCCCTACAGATATAATTTATGTATATTTGAGAGGACAGGCGAATAAGCTTATGGTAACCGTAATTTCGAGTTGTGTGGCATCTTGCTATTTTCGACTTTTATTTCAGTCATGCAGCACTACAAGGCTGCTTCAAATTGTAGGTTGTTGATAGTGTAAGAATGGTGTATATTGCTGCATTTTAATGCTCGTCGATTGTGAAGAAACTGCCAAATGCAGGACGGTCTTTATTTTTGTTTCAGAATAGAAACCTTTCTCCTCCGTCGCTGTGGGTGCTTTCGATATCGTGAGCGGTCACCCAGGCACGGGTGCGATGTTCTCGGATCCACATGAGTTCTACTATGTGGTATATCATGCAGAGCATCCAAAGCAAGTACTCTCTGTCAGAAAGACTCATCCGCACCATCGCCGCCATCCGCTCCTTTCCGCATGACAACATTGAAGATCTCATACGCAGGGTAGGCTTGTTAATTACTCTCTGAAGAACAGCGTTGGGTTCAGGCAGTTGTCTGATCTCCAAAAGAATAATCTAGCTGTAAAAAAACGACAAGTACTTTTATACTAGATATGCATAGAGAGCCATTAACTCTGAAATGGTATTTCATTATTTTGTAATAATTTTTTATAATGATTTCAGTTATTTTGACCAAATCACTATCAGTTGAATAACCCAGGTGCCTTGTCTCCCAGGGAGCAGATGTGAACCGGATGCATGGCACCCTAAAGCCCCTGCACTGCGCCTGCATGGTGGCCGATGTGGACTGTGTGGAACTGCTGCTGGAAAAAGGAGCGGAGGTACCGTTTAGTGCAATAACAGTGGGTCCCCAGGACTGGAGCTGAGAAAGACTGTTTTATTATTGGCTGATTGAGAGGCCATCCCAAAAACCTGCACCCACACGGGCCCTCCGTGGAACAGGTTCCCCACCCCTGATTTAGTGGGACCACAGATGATACATCAGTGCTGCTCAGACACCTTCCCATTGATGCTGGGCAACAAATTTGTACTTGAAAAACTTTGATCGGCAGTGGGCGACTTATCGTGATCATACAGATCTAGATGAGTTGCCTTTTGTCTTACCTGGTTGGCAGTCGCCCCATGACAGTTGCCATGTGTATCATCACCCTAAAGGTGATGAAAGATCACATACCTTCCTGTATCTTCCAGGCAGCATGGTTCAGTTTATTTTTATCATATTAAATAACAACTCAGTTACAACAGGCTTATATTATTGTTAAATATGTTATGACACTTTAATGACCATAAATGTCCACAGTATATGAATCTGTTTTTACTTTTGAGTAGTATTTCACAGTCCGTGGCTTTTTTGCCCCCAGGTGAATGCATTGGACGGCTACAACCGCACAGCGCTGCATTACGCCGCTGAGAAGGATGAGGGTTGTGTCGAGCTGCTACTGGAATATGGTGCCCAACCGGATGCACTAGATGGCAACAGGGACACACCACTGCACTGGGCCGCATTCAAGGACAACCCAGAATGCGTAAGGGCCTTGCTAGAGAGTGGTGCCAGCCCCAATGCTCGGGACTACAACGACGACACGCCCCTCAGCTGGGCCGCCATGAAGGGCAACCTGGAAAGTGTCCGCGTCCTGCTGGAGTATGGTGCTCAGGTCCACGTGGCCAACCTCAAGGGCCAGACTCCCACCTCCCGCCTGGTAGCCCTCCTGGCAAGGGGGTTGGGTGCTGACCAGGAAGAGGAGTGCCTGGAGTTGCTGTGCCGGGCGGCTGGGCGACTGGATATTCGTGGTGCTGATGGCTCTGTGCCCAGGGAGCTAAGCAGGGATCCCCAGCTGTTGGCTCGCCTTACGGCTATGGCATCGCAGCCAGCTTCGCTCCGTGGCCTGGCCCGCTGTGCCGTCCGGCACAGCCTAGGGGCGCAGTTCCTGCCCACTGCTGTGAAAACGCTGCCGCTACCAGAATCCGTCAAGGAGTATGTGTTGTTGAGGGACTGATGGGTCAGTGGGTCAAATTGAGGGAGAGTAGGTCAAAACAAGAGTGGCTTTGATGTGAGTGGAGGACCCTGGGGTAGGAGCATGTAAATATGTGAATAAAAATGTATCTGTGGTTGTGCACAAGTGTAAGTGATTGTGTACCTATAACAAAAGTCTTAACATTTATATGTAAGATTGACATTCAACACGTGGAAACTGTCCATCCCAACCCCCCCCCACCCACAGTCATCACCACCTCACATCCATTATTAGTGTTTGATGGATTATGGATAGTGCTTTAGGAAGACATTTGACTTTTTCCTGTCAGTTGCCTAATATCTCAATGAGTGCTGAAAGTTAAAGTTATACTTGAGTCCAGGTACCTTAGTTACACTGGTGGAAACCCAGAGTGGCGCAGCTGAACGAATCACGGGTGCAACGCTTGGTTTGGCTTTAGCCACTTCAACAAAATTGCTTTGAACTGTTTGTTTACTATGCATTGATTATATGAAAACATGCTTTAGAGAAATATAAAGCCTGTTAAATTAGTAACTAGTAACCAAAAATCAGTTACTTGAACATAAATGTGGGTTATGTTCTGAAATAATATTTGGATCTTTATGTTTGCAGTTTGCCATTTAGAGTATAAAAGTGGAAGTTTTTCCCCTTTATTTCATATACAGTATCACATCTGGTAATCCAGATTATAAACTCATTTTGAAAATGATAAATCAGTCTTTTCAATGTTTTGGATGTCAAACTGTGTATAAAAATGCAAAGCATAGCAGTGGTGTTTGGAATGTAGCTGCATTGGCTGGGTGCATCTTGCTGAGAATACTATCATGTGTCAGATTTTTGAGCTCATTTGGGACCGTGAGAGACTGGGCACTTTGTTCTTATTACTAATCACTGAAATGTGTATTTTATGTTTATACAATTGCTTTTGTGTTGTATGTGTGTATTACGTCACTACATGTTTAATTTTGAAGCCAATTTTTTCCATTTTTTTGTCACCCAGTGAAATTATTAAAGATCTGCTCTGTTGAAACACATGGTGTTATTTTGATAGTTTATGCTTTGTAATGTAACTAATATTTTTAAAGTGATAAATCAGCAAAAAAAAACACCTGATGAATTCATGTATCAGAATTCATGAGTATCTCATGACTCTTAGTTCATCTATGCTTGTTTTTGAAGAAAACATGTGCTAGAGTAACTACACAATCCACACTAAAACCAAGGTAAAACACCATTTATCTCAGTTTCAGTGTTTGCCTGGTTACTGTCTTAACTTTGTAGGTCAAAATTGTTCCCCTGTGAAGTGTTTTATGGATTTTTCCTTTTCCTGTTGCTGTCTTTTGTCTTAAATATTACTAAGTATTTGTATATACAAATATTAAAAGACCGTTGGGACAGTACCTCTGTATTTTAATCTGGATTCCATTCATCCATGGCCCCAAATAAACTGATATTTGTATTAAAATTAAACTGTGCCCCACCCCGCCCCCAATATCAAATTCTCTTCTACACCATTGTGTAAAATAGTAAGGAGGGGCAGTGACCATGTTAATGGTACCTTAGGGCATTATACTGTACTTGTGTCTATGAACGAATTTTTAAGCATTTCCTTCAGTTTCTTCACGACTGAGCTAGATAGTGCCGTTCTTGATTGAGGCCTCTAGGGCTATTACCAATCATAAAATTACAATTCTCCTGCGAAATTCGCCCGTAAAGTACACTTGTTTCAAGAAGAGACCTTCGCGTTTTCACTTTTTGAGTCATTTTCAAAGAGCCCTGACTCTGTGGCTTCCTCCGTCCGGTAGATGTCCCCATCCAGAACACTGGCCGGTTTAGCCACACAGTTTTGCTGTACTGTAGTCTTCCTCTACGGTAACCTTGCTGTATGCCATTCATTTATTTGTTTCCTCTTCGTATTTGGCACGGATTGTAAGTATGTCCTTCCGGTGGTTTACAGCAATACAGTAGAATGAGTAATGCTGTGGATTTTTTATGTAATGTTTCTATTTTATTGTACATCAGCTTCGTTACTATAATTTTCTCGAACTGGTTGAATGTAAACTGGAACAACGTCTGTATAGTTTTGAGTAATAATTAAATTGCAATTTTGATCGTGCTGCTATAACATTGTTTTTTTTAGATGCATTTATTGTCTAATCGGATAATTGAGATAAATTTAAATATATCTGTCAGGAAAAACACTGGGATACTTATCGGGAATCGTTACGGTGGTTTGTTACTACACATTGAGAAATCTAGCGAAAAAAAGCTGCTTAATTTTCAGTTGGACAGACGTTTCCCAGTGACAGAATTTTGAGAACATGTGTTTAGACAAATAGTCGTCTTTAATTCATTGATTGCATCACTGTGAGTTTTTTGTTTGTCTCCTAAGAACACTAGGAAAATGTATACCACCTTCAGACTCCTCGTTAACCCTGCTGCACTGGTGAGATATAAATCAAGACAAATTTTAGAGCAGCCGCATTGCCTTAGACCCCCCTGTATATAATAATACGTTAATGTTAAGTCAGTCCATTCAACAGATTAAAACAATATCACCTTTCTATTCCCTCATCCGACACAATTAAACCAGTCCTTTTGTGGCAATATACAGTAGTACCGAGTTATTTATTTTACGGATTATTTTCAGTATTTGGTCCTACCAACCAAAGAGTTTTAAAACCTTCTAAATTGCTTTAATTAGGAAAATGAGTGGAGTTAAATGTGCATGTGAATTGGGTCTTCATGGCCCTGACTTGAAAGTCTTGTTCTATGGTCTTATTTCCATGTCACTCACCATGATTGGACTTGCATGTTATGTTTTCCATTTAAGACTGCCTGCTTTCCTTAGGACACATTTTGCATTAAATGTGTTCAACGTTTCCCCCCTCTTTGCAGACAAGGGTCAGTTATAGGTTGGCACCCCAACCCTTGTCAATCTCCACACTGAGGGCATCACAGAATGCAGAAGTGAGTGCAGTTTCTTTGATTATGTGTAAAGGTTGCTGTAATATGGGTAGGATTTAATTTACTCATACAGAAATCAATGAGATAGTACTATTGAAGCCCCATCAATATATGATAGTAACACAATACCTTATTTTAAAATACTATGGTTCAAACCACCTCGTGAATGTTCTAATTTGTATGCATTGTGTATTTCATCCTGTGTAATTTAAAAATTGCATGTACAATTTTTGATGGTTTCTTCACAATTGAACCGTGCTGAGTAAGATTTCCTACAGAAAATCTTTACATATTTATCCTTAACACAGTAGAAGAAGAGCACCCAAAAGAATACAGTATTAAATAAATGTATAGTAGCAAAAATGCATATATTCAGTAATGCTTTACATTAACTGTGCCTTTATAATGCATTCATAGAACATTTACAATCAGCATGTAAGTATACCTTAATATCCTATCACACTTTAACAGCTTTAATATACATTAATAATAATTATATTATATTATATGATAATAATGTCATTATAACTCATTTCTTGTTCATTGTAAGTATTATGAATGCAATGCTTTAAGACATGTTAAGGCATTCTTACATTCTGATCATGAATGTTCTATGAATGCATTATGCAGGTGCACTATACTCTTGTTATTTAATGCCGGGTGATTATACCTTTTACCTGATTTTGCACTACCAGCCTAATTCCAGTAGAGGTCTCCAGCTTAGAAGGGATTTCCACTCCAGCAGCGCATCCAGGGATATTGACACGGCTGCCAAGTTCATTGGAGCAGGGGCTGCCACTGTAGGTGTGGCTGGTTCTGGGGCCGGTATTGGAACTGTGTTTGGCAGCCTCATAATTGGATATGCCAGGTACAAACTGATTTTATTCTTTTCCCATGTGTCATAAATAACTGTATTGTACCAAGATGTCAGAAAGTAACTAAAAGAAATGTGCCAGATGGATGGCATTACCAATGTCTAGTTTATTTCCCTATTTTCATATTAAGCTAATATAGTTTGTTTTTTAGCACAGAAGTACATGTGACTGACCTGCTCTGGCCATTTCCGTCTACAGGAACCCGTCTCTGAAACAGCAGCTCTTTTCCTACGCGATTTTGGGCTTCGCCTTGTCCGAGGCCATGGGACTTTTTTGTCTGATGGTGGCTTTCCTCATTCTCTTTGCCATGTGAGCCGCCCTCGTTCCAACAAGTCTGGAAGCTACACCGGCATGTGATCTGAAACATAGAGCTCTTGCATTGGTATATGAACAAATAAATTTTTAAATTACCTCTAATTTACAAATAGTTCCTTTCTTCCTAGTCAGTCAACCTTCCTACCATGTGTCCACTACAAAGAGGGAGAGCTGGCACCAGTGACATAGAACACAGAACATCCTGGATGGGATGCCAGTCCATCACACAGCACATACAGGCACTGACCAAGGTCAATTCAGGGAAACCAGTTAGATTGCACTGGTGGAGATCTTTGTGATATGGAAAGAATATATAAACCCCAAACAGATGGAGCAGGTGTGAACCCCAAGGAAACCCTGGTTGCACTAATAATGTAGTAGTATACTCTTACTAAATCTATTAATGAACCATATAGTAAGTGTTACCTACTGATCCCATGTTCATCGATCATTCATAACTTCATATATTTCATGCACAAACTATATTAGTTCATCATTTGTACTTGAGTAGTAACTAAGTTACTTGTGCCAAAAATCCCTTACCATAGAGCAGGGGTGGGGAACCTGTTCCATGGAGGGCCAGTGTGGGTGCGGGTTTTTGGGATGACCTCTCCATCAGCCGATAATAAATCAGTGGTTCCCAGCTCCGGTCCTGGGACATGCATCCCGAGCTTTAAGAAGGTTACTTACCTCTCATGTCTTCCATGTCTTCTGGTTTGGAAATCAGTTTCTTGCTGGTGACATTGTCTATAGCTGAAGTTGTGCATCCCTCCAGTGCAGTCTTTGAGTCCTCTTGTGTGCTCTGTCATGCAAATGTATTCCAATCAGTGAGCTGAAAACAATCGCAAAACTGAGAGACAGCATCCTCCGGCAAAAGTGTAACAGTCTTGGTTATGGATCCAGTAGCCCGGGTGCTTTGTGTATGGAGAGGGTATAGCAAGAGTGAAAGGTGATCAGACAGGCTCAAATGAGGATCCAGATGTGCTTTGTAGGCCTTGCTAACATTAGTATAAACTTGGTCCAATATTCTATTTTCTTTACTTGCGCACATTATGTTGTGGTACAATTTCGATAGAACAGCCTTAAGATCAGCTTGATTAAATTTACCCACCACAATACAAAGCTGTTAGCGTGAAGAGCCAGATTCTTATTTATGTTGTCGTGCAGCTGTGTGGAATATACACGGCATTGATGTAAACAACAGTGAATTCCCGGGGTAGGTAAAAAGGCCTGCACTTTAGCAGCAGAATTCTAGGTCAGGCCAGTAATGCTTGTTGATGATGGTAATATTTTAGCACCAGGGGTTGTTGATATAGATACATAGACCATCGCTGGTCTTCTGACCAGAGGCTGCTGTCCTGTTTGCTTGGTAAATGGTGTGTCCTGCTAACAGTTGATTGAATTCTTCTGTGTTGTGAGTTGTAGTCGGATTTCATCCAGTTAATTCCAAATCAATTAAACATTCGCAGTGAAAATTGTAGGAAGTGAACGGTTGAAAGGGTTCGCTTTTAACCAGACCTCAATGCTAGCCTGCTTGAAGTGGTTAGGTTTTAGCCTGGCTCACTTGAAGGGGTTAGCTTTTAGCCTGGCCCCAGTGCCAGCTCACCTGAAGGGGTTAGCCTTTAGCCTAGCCCCACCCCAGCCAGTCCGATGGGGTTAGCTTTTAGCCTGGCCCCAACACCAGCCTGCTTGAAGGGGTTAGCCTTTAACCTAGCCCCAGCCCGATGGGGTTAGCTTTTAGCNGCCTTTAACCTAGCCCCAGCCCGATGGGGTTAGCTTTTAGCCTGGCCCCAACACCAGCCTGCTTGAAGGGGTTAGCCTTTAACCTAGCCCCAGCCTGATGGGGTTAGCTTTTAGCCTGGCCCCAATGCTGGCCCCCTTCTCCAGCTGCTCTAGCGATTTCTGATGGGATGAATATATCTCTAGACAGTTGGTTATTTAAGCGATTGTTTATATCTAGAGTGGCTTGACTGTATTGTTGTGCGTTTACACAATAGCTGAATAAAAGTTAATTTAAAACAATAGTCAAAAAATTTTAATCTACACTTTAGAAGAGAACCAAGAGGTACCGTGTCTATTTTCACCGCATAGTGATACTAAAGAGAACACCAGTTCAGACACTTGATCTTCTCAACATGATAACGCAAAAATTATTTGGCTGATCTTTTCCAAACTTTCAGGCACATTATATGGGTAAAGATGTGAACCTATTCAAATTTTGAATCAAATCACAACAAAATTGAAGCAATGGCATTTAGTAACAGCAGAAAGGATGAGATGATTAGAGGCTTATCCTTGTGAACAGGATATTATTATTTTCTTCATTTACCTTTTTGATCTTTGATGGATTTTATTATCACTTCACAAAACATTGTAAATCTACACTGAAAAATGTACACTTCATCAGATCCAAATTGGAACTGCAAACAGAGGGCAGCTGAGAGCGAAAATGGAGCCTAGAGCGACATGGTGATTAAGAGCAAATGTGTGAGGAACTGCAGCCACTATCTTGTGAACACAGCAATGAACCATCTAAATGTATTCAGTGGATCTTCTTAACAACTTCCCATGAACATTGTACAGATCAGTAATTCTAAAACTGTTGGGTGAAAGATGATTTTCGAAATATTCTACAGTTTTGATCGCTAGACTCCCTGTTTGCCAAATTTTATCCGTATAGCAGTCCGGTAGCCAGTTGGTGAAAGATTTAGTGGGGAGATTGTTGAAATTTTTTGTGGAAGAATTTAATCCTGTCATGTTTTAATTTGGAAAGTGTGTAAGGTAGACTTGTAATAATATTTTTTCAGACTGCGGAATTTTCATTCACTAAGATTTATCACACATAGTGGGCCAGGCTACACTTTAGGTAGGCTTCAGGTTCACTTTAATCTATTTTTATGAAAGAAGTGTATTACAGGAGAGGGAGATTAATATGTTCCAAGCCTTTCGCTGTATTTTCATAACCACAAGTAGTAAAAAACTTTGGCCTTGAAAAAAGTGGACTTACAAAAATTTGACAATGTCATGAAAAAAAACACTCTTATATTATGTTAATATGTATTATATTATATTAATATTTTTGCTACTGTGGATGTAGAGAAGGTAGTATATCTCAAAGGTAATTTTTTAAAAATCAGCAAAAAACTTTCTAAGCTCTGGAGGGTATGTGTAATTCACGTGCCAAATTTAATCTAAATGAAAAATTATGATTTGTTGCCATTTGTTGAATTAAAATGGAATGACCCATTCAGATCTGACCCTGGCAACATCTCATCTAATTTCTTTGCATCTCAGTAAATTGAGCAGGTCAGACCATACCTGTCTTTCCAAGGCCGCAGACTTCTAAGCCCTCCAGCGTTTTCTGTGTCTGTCCTGAGATCTCTGCCTTCAATATCACTCTCCCTATAAGATATCCAGATGGCCTCTGTTGACTCCTTCAGATATAAAGGAGCAGTGGTTCTATTTCAAGGTATTTCCAGATATCTGAATTGACCAATCTGAGCAAAGTGAGCCCAGTTACCCTGAGGGAAAAACTTCATTTTGGCTGCTTGTACACCTGACCATGTTCTTGCCCACAGATCATGATTAGGATAGGGACAAAGATTGGCATGTAAGCTACAAGCCTTGACTACTATTTAAGCTCCCATTTCATGACCACAGACCTGCCCAGTTCCCGCAAAACTGCAGCCGCCAAACCAATCCATCTCATGAATCCTCTTATGTGAAGAAGTTCCTGTGCTCCTTAAACTCTTCCAATAAGGGTAGATGCTCCCCACGGATTCGGAGGTTTTCAGTCTCATCCCAGGCGTCACCCTCAACATCAGATCACTGACATGCAGCCTGGACATTCAAAAGCACAGTATCACCTGTAAAATAGCAGGGGTGCCACCTTGGCCCCACCTTTCCGGTTGCCCTATCAGAAGGAGCAGACTCTTTCCTGTTCATGTATAACATGCAAGTTCTGGCTTTGATTCTATTGCTGCAGCATGTCCTACAGTTCACTTCTCAGCAAAAGAAAACATGGGCCAAACCCAAAATTGCTAAATATTAACCTTTTAATAGTCTTAACAACTGATCATTGGTCAGATAATTAGCAATAACTAAAAATTACTCTCCCTAGACCTGTGCCACTGTTTGTTTGTCACTGATCGCTGCTGCAGTGACCTGCTGCGGAAAAAGCTGGAAACGGGGACATTCACTTACACAGGCTTCTTGTGCACAAATCAAGAAAAGAGTAAAATCTGTGATACAAAATTCAAACTAACATGTGTATGTGTTCAAAATTTTCCAAAATATCTTCCTGCTATTTGCTGTTGAGATCATTAAAGGCTACATGTTTTGCAATTTTTGGTTTGGCCCACTTTTTTGCCCAGGAGTGTATATACGGGGGTGTACAGTAGTCATATACGCTTTCCAAGTCAGGAAAGCACATATAGACTGTCTTACATTATTCCCAGAAACCCTCACATAGCTATGCAAGGGGGAGGAGTTGGTTCACAGTTGCAAAGCAAGGCTGGACCACTTTCTCTGGTCCTCCTTTTATAAATAGGGACTATGTCGCCATTGGCCAGCCTTCCATGAATCAGTGAAGCGGCACTTTACATTAAACACAACTCATCTAGCCCTGCAGCTTTTCCACTATGAAGGCCTCTGATCATTATAGCAACTTCAGCTGCAATGAAGTTTGCGATACTGCCTCCCAGCAAGGGAGCACACATTGTGTTAAAGAGTTCCTCAAAGTGCCCTTTCCACCACTTGACAATATCCTCACAGTTGCTCAGCACTTACCCACCCGGCTGAGCGTAACCCAAGTAACTCTGTAAAAATAAAACAAAATCTAACTATTTTTAAATCATTTTCAATGCAAGGCAAGGGTGTGGCTAATGATATACATTTTCCTTCACGAAGAATGATTACGGATTATCTTAATTTATTATACGACAATTATTTGCATTCATTAGAAATGATTTTCCCTAATGCACAACACTGCATTTTGTTACTATTCTGGTGTTATGAGTATGCATGTGTACAATGATACCAGGTGAGTTAATGTTTGTGTCTGTAATACTGTTGGCCATTCATCTAATAACCAAGTATACAAAAATAAATCACTGACTCCCATCTCTCCAATCAACACCTAGGATGAATAAAGTTTATCTTAGGAACAGCAGGACATAACAAAGCCATGCCCTAATTTCTTGGTCACAGATTTTGAGTGGCATGGTTTGTCTCATACCTTAACATATTAGTGCTGCATTTTATCTGTGTGCAAAGAGTTTTTATGTTCCTCCTGTGTTGTGTGGATCCCTCAGTTCAAAGACATGCGGTTAGGCTGATCTGGTTGTCTAAATAAATTGCCTGTTGTGTGTGTCTTCTGTGATGTAATGGCATAATGTAGAGGGGGTACCCCCTGCCTTGTGCTTAGAACAGACACCAGGCATTAAGTTACGTAAAATAAAATACAATTTAATTAAAACAAAAAGGGACCTCCGGGGAAAATACTAAGGGGGGCACGAATCGATTAAAAATCGGAACAAATCGTTTATCCGAATAAGCTCAAAAAATCCGATACACTGCAACCAGCGACATCCCCCTCTTCCTACCAACAGCTGATTGTGAACTGGTGAGCACGTTGGAGTCTGACGTTGGAATATCTCGCGAGATTTTGCCTAGGAGGGGAGTGTCAGATTCCAAGAGAGAGAAGAGAGGAGAGAGAGGCGCTGAGGTGAGTTTGTAAACAATCTATTACTGTCTGATTCGCAATCCAGGTGTAAACCAGGGGAATGTCTGATAGGATCGCCTTAAGGAATCGCAGAATAGAACCAGGAGTGACTTACTTAGTGGTGTCCCGTTCGAAATACAAGTAACAGGGTAATTTTTTGCATTGTATCTGCCTGAGACTGGCTAGCTAGTTCTTTAGCTACATTAGCATCGTATGTTTTAGCCTTTCCTTAACTCTCGTTTTTATGCTTCATCGTTGTTATATTTTGCCCACTGGTATTTGCTTTCTAGGTTTTAGTGTAGCTGCTGCGGCAGGTTGAAGAACCGTGGCTTTTTAGGTGTTGTTACCAGGGTTGTTACACTTCTTATAGGTTTGGTGTGGAGCGGCCTGCTCAGTTGGGGCTCTGTTACTCTGTTAGGAGGAGAGGGGGAAATTCCAACCATTGAGGGAGAACCTCTGACAACCGGGTATAGTTTGAGGTCAGGCGCTATTGACAGCCAGGTAACCAATCGCACTAGAGAACGTGCGATTGATCCACTTGTTCACCACCAATCGGCGAAGAATAAGGGCGGTCGCATGCGGGAAAAGGCAGACCCAGGTTCGTCTGTTGCCCTTCAGCAGCGCCGTGCTGATGACTGTTACCGCAGGTCCGGTCTAGTACACATCATTAAATAATACGATCCACTTTTAATTTATGGTGTTTGGCAGATGTTGTCCTAATACAAGTTAATACTTCCATCGTTTCTGATTAGCTAAGGTCTTGTGCGCCCGTAGTGCTACTATTGATGCAGCTATTAACTGGCGGGAAATTGCCCCGAAATTAATGAAATTTAAGGCGCGGGTTGAAGAAAGTAACGATTAAGTTAGCGCTTCAGCGGCAGTATAAATAATTGATGTTGTTCTTAATCGCGCCTTAGTGTCTGTGTTTGTTTCCACATCTCGACGTAACTTTTTTTCATGTTCCATAGTTTAAAAGTCTAAGAGGTTTGGGAAGTTGCACGCAGTAGCACAGTCTAAGACTTAATCCTAATGCCTTTCGTACGATGTCGTTCCTAAATCAAGTAAACGTGACAGTAATGCGTTTTTATGGATTTTGGAGGCACAGCTTTTACTTACTAATTGATCAACCTGGCTTAACTAAATGAATTATTTGGGTGTAATTCGTATCTTTCAGTAAAACTTAAAAACCTTATCTTGCTGTAATTGAAATTTTTTAATGTTTGCTAGAGGACGTCTCACTTATTTAAAAGTTTATGAATACATACTTTCATCCAGAGTGATCAAGAGTGTTATTGGTATACTCTGTAATTGCTCTGCATAAGTAACCACTATAAACTGTCAAGTTATGTTATTGCAACATAGTACAGTCACCATTTTATTACACTGCATATGTAATAATGCATGAGGAGTTTTTTTTTAATAACATGCATATTTATCGCCGAAGGTTCTGTATTAGTGACAAAACGAATGATTTATTTTTATTGTTATTGGACTAATTCCCTCTTGACTGTAGGCCAGTGGCCAATGCTGCCATATCTTTGTTCAGTGTGTAGCCTTCCTGCTTGCCTTTAAGCACTGAACAGAACTAATTTATTATGGTAACAGAATTAATTTCAAATGCATATCGAGTTTTTTGGCGAGTTATTACGAGATGGAAGTCTTGGAAAAAGTGCCTGCTAATATTAAAAGCCTACTGCTTTAGATGAATAAAACCACAATAACAGTTTTAATTCAACAGAATTCGTGGCACATTTTGCCTTTGATTCTTATCAAATTCGGCAGCTGAATTAGGCATTCCTCCCAGAGTTTAGTAATGATTTTTAAAAATTATTAAATTAGCTTTTAGATATAGCACCTTCTCTACACTCCAGGTAGCAAAAAAATTGATGAGCTGTAATTTTTTTTAACTCTTACAGATACATGGCTCTGTTGTAGCTCATTGGAAAGGTAAAAGGGCTTTTCATACTCTGGTCGAATCAATCTCCACATAAGTTTCTTTTCTCAAAGTCATTGTTCATCTTGCAAACTGCATTTTTACACTCTCAACGAAAAGGTTTTCCAACTTACTAGAGACGATGAATCTCTGGACTGTAGACAGACTTTTGTCCCAATGTCCTGTTCATGGTACCTTAAAGGTGTCATAGAATGCATTATTTTCAGTATTTCAAATTGTTCTCTGGTCTCTACATAGAAGGTGTACAGTATGAACTTCTTTTGGTCAATAAATGCTCAGAAGTGTTTTTACAGGCCCACAATTTGGCCCTAGAATGAAATGGGCCGTTTTCCCTTTTTTGGTTGCCTCGTTAATATTTTGATGAACTGTGCTCTGATTGACTGATTTGCACGGTGCTACATGATAACATTTCGGTCAGTGCCGTACTGCATTTGCAACATTGATGCCATAAGATTATGACGGAGCTGAAAAATTCATATTGCCTAGTGATTTCATAGAGCATCGCATCAATCGCCTGTTTGTGGTAAACAAACGTACTGTAACCAGTCGTGTAAAAGTATAGCACAATTATGTTCAGTACATAATACTTGATAATGATAATAACTATGTTGCTAGTTTACATATTTACTATACTGTACTTTTTAATTGTTATTTTAGAGTGTGCTCTTTCTACTTTGCCGCACATAAGTAATGCGTTAGCAGAGTCGTAACTTTGTTTTTAACATCGTAACAAGAACATCGTAATAATTTTGCATCTCAGTTGGAACCATGCAGCTGAAAAGTTCTAACTATGTAAATTGCCAGCAGGGGCTTTAGGAAAGTGAACCCCTTAGTAGGACTTATCTTCTGAGGCTGCTGGTAATACAAAACCGTACATTAATGGCTTTCTGTATGTGTTTTTCTCCTTGTCAGGTGCTCTTGTAGAAATGTGCATGCGTGCTCCTTGACAGAGGAAATATATTTAGCAGGGTGTGCAGATCCATTGCGATTCAAGGTGATCTGGTGTTTGCTTAGTTTAAGGTGTAACTCAGACTGTTATGTAACAATATAGAATTTTTTAATCATCCCACTTGACCACCTGCTTTTTCATATGTAGGATTTATATCAGAATGAGACAACAACAGTGTTTGGGAATCACAGTATGTCAGTTCCACACACCAAATCTTCAGCTATGCTCAGATTTAAGTTTATTTTTTTCCTGTTGCAGAACCATCTGAAAATTAAACTTTGGTAAACCAGAGGATTTGCTGAAATGCATACAATGTGGTAGTGTGATAAGGAGAAACACAAAACAAACTAAAAAAAAAATCAAACTTCTGTTTTCCAGTAGACGATAAACAGCTGTAATGTGGTCGGCAAACTTTACCAGTGGCATGTCTGGACCTCTTGCAGGATAAAGGAGAAATCCTCTGAAAAGTCCCCAAAACACTTTACACACAGAGTTACATTGTATACGTAAGGCTATTTTATGAAGTGAATTAAAAGAGAGTAATGGATAATATGATTGTGATTTTTTTTTATTGTACTTGTATATTTATAGCCTCGTATCTCCTATGCACACACTTTTTCATAAATTGAGTTCTTCCTTTTTTGAGGCTCAGAAATATATAGGGTGCTTATTTCATAATGGAGACCAAGTCAGGTCAGTATTTTATGTGCGAATAGTACATGAACATTTGCCCATGAGCCAAAACATTATCACCACACCCACATGAAGCTTATAATGTTGACTATCTAGTAAAAATGATGCATGTGAAGGTCTCAGATATATTAGACGTAGACTCATAGTTGACCTTAATGCAGAAGAAACAGGCATGGATATATAAAAATTAATGCATATGAACATTTGTGTTGCTGACTGCTGGGCATACTCTGTCTTCCGTCCAGTCCTTCTGTGTCCCCCTCTCTCCCCCTCTTTCTCTCTCTCTCTCTGGGGTGAGGTTCCATGCTACTGCCTGCTCATTCCTGGCTGCTGCTGGAGCTATTAATATGGTTTGTTTAGTTGGTTTCCTAGCAGACTGTGTGAAACACTGAGGGCCTGTAGCTGCATATAGCTAGGTACCCTTGGTCTCCTTGAACTTGCTGAGTAGAAGAAACCCAAGTGAACTGGAAGGTGTGGACAGGGAGCCTCTTTTTCCAAAGCCTTCATGGTCAGCAGGGTGAATATTACATGGTGATTTGATAATTCTGACATCTAGTCGGGGAAAATAATCAAATCCCAGCCCATCCTTATGCTTCCACATTGCATCTATGTAAGGGTATCATTAATGAGTTATCTGTATTTCATAAAGATGGATTCCCTGTTACTGGTTTGTGTAGCTAGAAGGACTGGCTACATTATGACCCCTTTCATCTCCATGGGAAGAAATAGGATGTTTGACAGTTTCTTCTTTTCGGCATAGAAAACCTGCATCATTTCTACACTCAGCCTGTGAACTTTTGGTGTTGTTGATTTTTGATTTCCAAATATTGGGTGGGAAAGGCAGTCAGTGGGGACTTAATGTGAGGCCTGCAGAAATTTACATAAACAACAAAATGTTCTGTATAGTGGGGAACAGAAAAGAAGCATTCTCAGTGAGCACATGACGCAACAGGACAATAGTGAGCATGTTTGGTATGCTAATGAATTACTTTAACATTGTTAATAATTTTTTTATGGTAGGGTTGCATCGATATTGATATTACTATTGGCATCAGGTCATGTACTCGTTTTCACCCTTGTGACAAAGTGGTACCACCGAATGACATTAAAGATATCATCAACGAACAAAATTAGCAGAACGGCAAATTTTCTGCATTGCAGAAGTACTTCAAAACTAGAAAGTGGGGCTGTCAGAGAGACAGCATTGTAAATCACTGGATTTATGCTCTGTTCCTACATGATAGTCCTCCAATATCATCCCTGTCCCCAAAATGGCAATGAGCAGAGGCCTAAATGCCTGCAGACCTATTGCCTTGACTTCTGCAGTTATGAAAGTCTTTCGGCACCTTCTCTTGATCCATCTGAAAACCATAATGAAGCTTCTGCTTGACCCCTTGCAGTTTGTATACATGGCCAACAGATCTGTGGATGGCAGTGCATGGCCAGGTTAACCCCCTGTACTGGAGCATCTTGACACCTCAGGGACCTATGAAAGAGTACTGTTTGTAAACTCCAGCTCAGCTTTTAAAACAATCAATCCTGAGCTGCTACAGGTTAAACTCTTCCAGCTGTCTGTCCTGTATTCTACCTGTCATTGGATCGGAAGACAGCGGGTATTTGACATTTGACACATTTACTCTCAGAACTGATGCTCCCCAAGTCTTGTCTTGTCATTCCATCTCTTCAGTCTGTATGCCAACCACTGCACCTCCAGTGACCCTTCAGTGAAATCTCTGAACAATGATGAATATGATGAATATTGCAGTTCTGCAAGTCATGCAGTTAATATTGGTTGAATCAAGATACTATCTGCTGCTTAGCACCCAAAGTCAAGAGATGGTCATGGATTTCACCCCGCCCCCCCCCCCCCCCCCCACTCCCCCTCAGCATCAGTGGTGCTGCAGTCTCCACTGTGCAGTCATTGAAGTTTCTGGGTACCACCAAAACCAGAAACCAGAAGTGTGAATGTAATATGGACTCTATTATCAGGAAAACACAACAGAGACTTTACTTTCTAAGGCAGCTGAAGAAATTCAGGTTTATGCTGTAATCCATGAATCCATCCTGACCTCCTCCGTAACTGACTGGTTCAGCTCTTCCACCTCATTTGAAAGAGTAACACTGCAAAGGGTGATTAGGACTGCAAAAGAAATCATTGGCAGCAATCTGCCCGTCCTGCAGAGGAATTACAACAGCAGGGTCCTAAATGTAGCCATAGATTTCAAACGAAATCATTGGAATAAACGTTATTTTAGCCGTACGACATTCTATGAGCCATAATAAACACGGTGATCACCGTTTTGGCCCACCGCCTGTGCACATAAATGTGGTGCTGTGGGATTGGTCAGCAGGACTAATTATGCAGTTACTGGCATGTAATGTTTTCCGTGGAGTGGGTATGCTTTATTATGTTAATATGCTTTATTATTTTAATATGATTTATTAGTGTGTAACTGTGAGTGTCATGGAAATTGTTGGCTTCCCTATCCGTGCTTCTTCTAGTATTAAACTATTAGTAGCTGTTAATAAAGAAAGCAGCTTCCGTTTTAAAACAGCTTTCATCTCCTTCATTAAAATGACTCACACACTCCCTACAATAGGTTTATTTGGGCTTTGTATGTGGGTTTCCTGCATCAGGAAAATTCTGTACCCTCTTGGGTTGTAGCATGACATAGAACGAAGAAAGTGGCAATTCATCCAGAACAGCATTTGTGAGGTCAGACACTGATGTTGGACGTGAAGACCAGGCTCATGATCTTCTCATCCAAAAGATGTTCCTGGGGGTTCAGCTTAGGACTCTGTGTGGGCCAGTTAAGTTCTTCCACACCAAACTTGCCCAACAATGTCTTTATGACCTTGCTTTATACACTGAGGCACAGTCATGCTGGAACAGAAAAGGTCTTTCCCCAAACTGTTCCCACAAAGTTAGAAGCATAAACAGAAACAACCCCATGCCATTGTCTTTACAGTTGGCACAGTGCAGTCAGGCAGGTAATGTTCTCCACAAAACCCATTCTCATCTATCAGATTACCAGACAAGCCTGATTTGTCACTCCACAGTCTAGTGGCTGCTTGCTTTAAATCACCCCATCTAACGCATGGCATTGCGCTTGGTGAGGTGAATCCCTGCTTTAGACAGACTTGCAGCATGTTTTTAGATCATAAGTAAATCCGGCTCGCCAATCCGTTGTCTTCCCCACCTCTACCCCCTGGTTGGCAAGTTTTAACGGATTCTGTATCTGATGTATTTAAATTAAAATATCACATATTGTTTTTTTTTTAAAGACATCACCCAGCCCTAATTGGTATTGGTGAGTACCAGAAAGCAAGCATCGGTACTCGTACTTGGTCTGAAAAGAATGGTATTGATGCATCCGTGTTTTATGGTGAATTGATCATTTTATTATATTTGTGTAACTGCTATAGGAATCACCAGGTGTTGATAGGTGTAGATAAAACCTTAATGTCCTCCTTATTTCTTATTAATTTGAACAAATAACAGTATTTTATTATTAGTGAAAGCACAGTGGTGACTAAGAGCTAAGAAAATGATTTGTGTCAGAAGAACCTGAGAAGTCTTTCGGCAGTTTGCATTTAAATATCAAAGTGTGAGTGATATACAGTTAAATGTCAAAATGTCAAAGGCTTTTTATGACTTTTAAAATAATCTGCAAGCCTGGTGTTTATGACACATTACATTAAGTAATCAAATTCTCCACATTTGTCACATACTGACTGTTCGTTTGCTTAGTCTGCTTAACCTTGTTCTGAGCAGCCTATATGTGAACACGAACCCTCTATTAAAAGCATCTACAGTGTTAGTTCAAATTCACCACAGTGATCAACCTCAGGTGATTTAATAGAGATGAAAATATGTTTTGACTTTTAGAAATTTTACATGTCGCTTATTTGAGGTGTCTCACACATTTGAACAACATAACATAATGAAGATTGAAAATGGTGGATTACACCAGTCAGTAAAGAGAGAATTTAATTTTTTTTATTACTTTTAGTTTAGGATGCTATGTGAACTTACCTAGAATGCAGAGACTCAGGCAAAGGGATTTTCGTGTGCAAATGTTGATATAATTCTCATATGTAAACTGCTACTTTTCGGTCAGCCAGAAAGCACCTGTGTGAGAGATTTATCTCCCAGAAGAACCAAAAGCTTTGTGCTTCCCTGGTTATGAAGCACAGTTTGCTTGCTTTGCTGGTTAACACCCAATCTTATTTGTTTAGAATGTTTTATCTTCTTTTCTTCAACAGATACACTTAAGGCTCTTCACAAATATGGGGGATGATCGACCTTTCGTGTGCAACGCCCCAGGCTGTGGACAGGTGGGTTTGTTTGTTTGTTCATTCATTCATTCATTCATTCATTCCTTTCCCCTTCAGTCCCCTGCACTGTAAAGTTATATAGGCATGTACACAAGGGTGCCTCTCACTCTTGCCGAACAGTGAGACTCTGAGCGGCTTTTTAACTGTGTTCCCAGGGTAAGGAAGAATAGCAACAATGCCAAAGTGACATCTGGGGTCATCTGTAGTGTGTGATATGCTGGCTGGAGTATGGTGCCCCTCTTCTGCAGTGTGGAAACTGTATTTTATCTGTGAAGTAGCTATGTGGGCCCTGATTGGTCCCTTTGAGGCACAGACTGTTTTCTACCTGATAGACATGCCATGGGGTGATGGTTTTGTCTGGATCTCACTGGTGACTCAAAGTCATTTGAAGTGACTAACCTATATACAGTTGCCCTAAACGTCTTGTTGACTCATCAGCACCCTGCAGAGAGAAATTACCTGTTTGCTGAGAATGATGCATATAGGGGGTTCTTAAGTAAAGAAAATGCAAAACTTATTAATGATACCAGGTATTGTCCAATGATAATGATAGGACATGAACAGTGCAGCACAAAATGATACACTGAATAAAAAAAGAGAAATTTGTATCAATGAATGGTAATATATTATAATAAAATACGTTGGCATTTATTAAAACTATCGTACTATAACACTGTACAACGACTTTACTTTTGGATATGGGACCTTAGTATTTCTTGATGTCCTGGCAACATGAACTGATACACTACCCTAGTATTAGTATAAGTGAATAATTATTATATATTGGTGTATTTATGCAAATTTTTGTATTGTCTCTAGGGATGTGCATCTCCATCTCTGAGGCGATGGGAAACACATCTCGATGCTCTGGCAACGATTCAATACATTAAAGATGCATATGAAGCAGCCACTATTGCAATACGATACGAATGACCCCTATTGCGATGGAGTGCGGATCCGACACGATATGATGAGATGCAATGCATTTCTGGACACGCCTCCAACTCATGCGGTACTCGGATGAGAAACTTACAGAGAATTGGCCACAATTACTTAAAGAAAAAATAGCAAAGCAAAAAAAAAACAAAAAAACTTTAAACTGTGTTAAACAATATTCCTCACTTTCCCAAAAACATAAAAAACGAGTTGGCGACACAAAAGAGAGCTTGCTTTTGCATATATATATATATATATATATATATATATATATATATATATATATATATAATAATATATATATATATATATAATATATATATATATGATCTTTAAATGAACCACATAAACTTCCACCTGACTCATTACCAAACATGATTCAACATATAAACATACGGCTCAATTTTATTCCGCTAAATGTCAGATGAGCCAGAAGCCATATTTTTGCTTCTCAAACACAGACAAAAAAAGAAAGTTTGCTTTTGTGTGCAACAGCTTACAAACAAAATCAGGCTCTTGATAAAACATATACCCTCCTGTGGTCTGGAAACATCAATGTCTCGGGGGTCATTATAACACCATTTGTGAGCTAAATAATACTAAATTAATAAAGCTAAATGATTTATCTCTCTATTATACAATAATAAATTGGATTTTACAGATCCAAAGATGTTAGAAATGATGTATCCCAAGTATCCCAAATTGTATCCAGTGCACCCTTTCTTTTAATCGGGGCAGTCGCACCATGAACTTTCATGCTGGTGCAACAATGCGAATTGACAAATCTTATGATCCCTAATTGTTGCAGCCCTAGCACATTTGGTTAGGTACAGGAAGGTAAATGTACAATGTGTATTACAGCTGTCACGATTATACGATTAAACTTGATTATTCGATTAACAAGGCTGCCAACTGTCACGCATCTGGCATGAAACTCAGGCTTTCTGACTCTCACGCTTGCGTAAGAAATCTTACGACAATTCTGTATTATTCCATTATAAAACTAAAATTAGTTAGTGTTGGGGTAGTTTGCAAACCCTACAGACTAATTACAGGGTAATAAAACTGTGACATGGGCCTACATGTAAATGAGTATGCAAAGTGAAAATGTCACATCAGCCAGCTGACCAAAGTTGGCAACCCTGCAATTATTAAAAAGCATCAGTTAAAATTATCTTCCCAATTACTGGGAAGACAGCGCATGGTATACAAGGGCCCAAATAAAGAGTGAAAGCATCAGTTGTGTGAAAGTACTTCACATTAAAAGTAAATGAAAATGCAATCGTCTGCCAGTATTGCAAAGCAGACACGACTGCAATGCAAATGCATCTTAAAAGAAGACATTCAGGTTTTATGGACTCAGTAATGGACCCAATAATGCAAGGTTAGCCAAAGATATGTGCCATTTAACCTCGTGGAGTATGCCCTGTCTTTTTGATCACTTTGACGTAAATAATTTTTTAAATGAACTTTCTACAGTTTCTCTATGTCACATTAATCGCTGCTAAAATAAAGGTTAGCCCTGCTGTTTATCTTCATGATTACATAATATGGTGCATAATTAGTCATCCATCCATCCATTCATTTCCTGTAATCGCTTGTCCTATTTAGGGTCGCAGGGGGCCCGGAGCCTATATCGACGATATTGGAAAAATTTCACATTTTGACATTTGAAGTTTTTGTGGTATTTAGGAATTGAAAATGAACTGTATAACCAAGTACTGTAGAACTTATCTGTCAACAGAGGCTGTCAAATAAGTTGGTGGTGTTGGCTTGACTTTTGCTAACAGACACAAAGCAGTGCCAACAAATCACTTGCTTTTGACGGCATTCCACTCTGGAACCGAAAATATTTCCATACAGCCGAAGATGAATGTCTTTGGGTTATCAGTTCTTGCTTTTTTTTTTTCTTTACATATGCTAGATAGTATTGAAAAGGAACCATCATTAAAATTGCAATGCTTGCTAAGTTTTGTTTCCTTTGAGTAAATATGTTTTAGCTCAACTTATTGGTGGTTTGAACTCGGCAGACTATAGCAGTCCTTGCAGTGTGGTGGTTGCATGTGCATGAAATGCCATATCTACATCGCACATTGTGCAAGCCTTTTGAGGGCGGAGCGGTGGGTAGCGCTATTGCCACACACTGCCACCTTTGTGTATGTGGAGTTTGCATGTTCACCCTGTGTCTGCGTGGCTTTTCGCCTTATCTCGCCATATCCTCCGGTTTGCTTCCACTGTTCAAAAACATGCAACTTAAGTCAATTGGAGTGCCTGAACTGACTGAGCGTGAACTGTGCAATGGTCGGTTGGTTCCTGCCTCGCACCAATTGCAATGTGTAGGTCTATAATATAATATAATATAATATATAAATGATTACTGGATGATTCATCAGATTAATCAGTAGATTACTTGATTATTGATATAACCAGTGAGTAAATTGTATTTTACCTTCTTGTATTCTTTCTTTATTGAATCAAATGGAATGTGTACTAGAGATTGCTGAAATAAGAGAGCTTAAATACCAACCCATTTTATCGTGAGTGTTCCTGCTTAGTGATATTTGAAGATGGTTTTAATCATGGTTGATTAAAACGAAGCACAACTGAACAAAACACTAAGGCACATGAATGACTAATTCTGTTTTAGAATAGATATTGTTTTAACAGGGCATAAATATTGTACATTTATAGCATGCTAACTGGAGGTTTGAAGCAGACAGAATTTCCTCCTGAGACCTGGTTGTTGATGTACGGACAAAACGTTTGGTTGCAATATTTGGCTTGGCTGAAGGGACACGTTTTATTCTCTCTCGCGCGTTTAACTCTTTGAGAATCGGCCTTGTGATATGATACAGCTCAGTGCTGCCAAAAGCACTTGCGTGCCTCCCTCTTCCACCTTGTGCAGTTCTGCTGCATTTCTGGTGTTTCCAGCTATATCCCACAGCCAGACAGTCCCGGCCGCATGCCAAGTCATCCAAGGTGTTTTCCAGCTGGGGATTTGTTAAGCCCATGTCATCCAACAAAGACAGTCTTGCTAGTCACCCCGAGCCAAAAACCAGCTTTAAGTATCAGTCAGCAAGCTGATCTATTGTAATTGTGGGTAGCTGATCCCTGTTTTGTGGCCTCATTTGATGTCAGTTTTTGACGTGCTGCTGGTTTGTCTGTCTGATGAACCCTTTATGTCACCCTATCTGACATGTATGATGCAGATTTTATACAGTACCTAAGCTACTTATAGGCAAAAAATATCCAATTAGATTTTCAGTTCAGATGGTTCTTTATCTCTCTATGTGTTGCATCATAACTGCGAATAAAAAAGGGAATAAAAAGCCACATAAGAACCTCCTTTCCTTAATTTTACTGTCCACCTTTAATGGCGAATTATTTCTTGCTGTGAAATGTACCGGCTGGTGAGCGAGGTGAACATATGAGTCCTACAGCAGTGCTGGCAGCACATCTAAAAATAAGCCTCAGGGTTTGACAGTGTTTCCACTTCTCGCTGCTCAGCTGTAAGTGTGATACTGTGACGGAAATAGGCCTGAGTCGCACAAGTCTCATCTGTTTCTTCATCTACAATTCAAAATATTCCTGGAATGAGGGATTTAGAGGCACAGGTAGGCATGCAGTGAGCTCTTGATGTGGATTCGAATCAGATGCACTCGGGAATGGACTGTTTCCCAGCTTATTGTGCATGCCTAAAATGGCGTCAGGAAGATTATTGAAAATCAAATAAACTATCTTTTGCATATTGGCTTTCTGTTAAAACTGAGTTTTTAACATACAACTGCAAGCCCTTTGGTGTGCGTCAGTACAACGAGCAGTAACACTGACCGTTTCACATTCATGTGTTTTTTTTTCTCATTTTATATTAGTTTCTAGTTTATTATCAGATCATTTATTGACTGCGGTATGGTCACGTGTTCTTGGTTTGAGGTGGAAATATTTTCACAATGGGCCATTAATTGCACTGTCAGTCCATTAACCTGCTCTATCAATAGACCAGTTATGCATCTAATTACACATTATATTAACTTAACACAAGAACCTTATTTTTGGTTTCTGGGATGTATTGTATGGGTCAGCTGAACTTAGTGGGTGGTAAGAGGTAATGAGAATAAACGTATCATGTATAAACGAATATATTTCCCTGGAAATGAATAGTCGGTGTTACAGTGGACATAAGATTGTGTATTAAAATGGGACTCAGTTATTTAAATGTGTTTATCGCTGGGAGCTGATCATGACATCTCTATGCAGGGCGTAATTATGGAGACAGAATCAGTACAACACTGATCACTAGCACAACCTTTGATGAATGTTTTAAGAAAACTAAACGTAACAGTTTTGTTTTGCTTAATGAAAAGTGCAGTTATAATTGTAATAATCATCATAATAATCATGACGGTTATGCTTTATGTAATGGAACTAGTAGTTTGCGTTACCCTTCCTTGCAGAAATTCTCTGACAGTTTACATGCAACTCCATACAGACTCTTGCTTGCTGAAGCAAAAATAAGGCCAAATAATTGATGTTGCTTCCTTTTGAGGTACCACACTGTCATCCTTTCCTGACAGAAGTCCAACATTGACCCACATGATGTCTGTCTGTTAGATAATTCAGATGCATGTGGCTGAATAAGGGACATACGTGTTGTTGTTTTTCAGGAAAGTGAATAGTGAGGATCTAATGACTAAGCATACTGAAATTAGCACAATTTGGTTAGTAAGTGCTGCTTAAACTGTTGGTAAGAAGGATTTTACTATGTGCACTATATTGTCAAAAGTATTGGGGTACCTCTCCAAATAATTGAATTTATGTGTTCCAATCACTTCCATAGCCACAGGTGTATACAATCAAGCACCTAGGCATGCAGACTGCTTCTACAAACATTTGTGAAAGAATGGGTCACTCTCAGGAGCTCAGTGAATTCAAGCATGGTACCGTGATAGGATGCCACCTGTGAAATAAGTTCATTCGTAAAATTTCCTCGCTACTAAATATTCCACGGTCAACTGTTAGTGGTTTTATGACAAACTGGAAGCAATTGGGAACAACAGCAACTCACGTAAATTCACAGAGGAGGGACAACGCATGCTTAGGCACACAGTGTGCAGAAGTCACCAACTGTCTGAAGAATTAATAGCTACAGACCTCCAAACTTCATGTGGCCTTCAGATTAGCCCAAGAACAGTCCGTAGAGAACTTCATGGAATGGGTTTCCATGGCTGAGCAGCCTTACATCACCAAGTGCAATGGAAAGCGTCGGATGCAGTGGTGTAAAGCACACTGACACTGGACTCTAGAGCAGTGGAAATGTGTTCTCTGGAGTGAGGAATCACGCTTCTCTGTCTGGAAATCCGATGGACGAGTCTGGGTTTGGTGGTTGCCAGGAGAACAGTACATGCCTTACTGCATTGTGCCAAGTGTAAATTATGGTGTGGGGTTGTTTTTCAAGGGTTGGACTTGGCCCCTTAGTTCCAGTGAAAGGAACTCTTAATGCTGCAGCATTCAAAGCCATTTTGGAAAATTTCATGCTCTCAACTTTGTGGGAACAGTTTGGGGACGGCCCCTTCCTGTTCCAACAGGACTGTGCACCAATGCACAAAGCAAGGTCCATAAGGACATGGATGAGTGAGTCTGGTGCGGAGGAACTTGACTGGCCTGCACAGAGCCCTGACCTCAACCCAACAGGACACCTTTGGGATGAATTAGAGCGGAGACTGTGAGCCAGGCCTTCTCATCCAACATCAGCGCCTGACCTCACAAATGCTCTCCTGGAAGAATGATCAAAAATTCCCATAAACACACTCCTAAACCTTGCGGACAGCCTTCCCAGAAGAGTTGAAGCCGTGATAGTTGCAAAGGGCGGGCCAACTCCACATTAAAGCCTATGTATTAAGAATGGGATGTCATCAAAGTTCATGTGTATATAAAGGCTGGTGTCCCAATACTTTTGGCATTATAGTGTATGAATGAAACTCAAATAGAGGGGTATTGTGTATAGTGATTCAGATCAGTTGCTGTGCAGCTCAAAATTGCAGTGAGGAACACAGTATATCTGAGAAACCTGACAGGTGTCATTTTCCTATGGTCAGCTCATCCACTTTATTTAAATCAGATATTTTGGTATGGACAGCTCCATCTGCAATAAATCTTCTATTTTCTATTTTTCTATTTCCCATTCATCACCTCCTCAACTATGTTTTTTACCTTGTCTGTTTCTTTCCACAGAGGTTCACCAATGAAGATCACCTCGCTGTTCACAAGCACAAGCATGAGATGACACTCAAGTTTGGACCTGCCAGAACGGACTCAGTCATCATTGCAGGTGCTTATCTCTGCAGAATTCTGTAGTTTCAGGAATTTTCCCCCACCTGATGATTGTCTGATCATCTTTCATGAATTCAATAGTCAACAGAGCAAATAGGCACCAATGCCATAGAGCAGTGCAGCATCAATTGGACAAAGAGCTAAGAATCACTCCCTGTGGTCTCCCAGCATATCCATTAGAAATAATACTGATCATATTTTTAGTACAATTTGTTACATCATCTTATTTGTAGCGTAGTGTAATGCGTCAGTTTGGTGCTTATTGACTCTATTGACTGTTGTATCCCTGACAGACGACTTGAGAACCAGGACGTGGGGAAAACATTCCTAAAAACAGAGAGCATGTCATGTATTTCTGCTAATAACCACCCTGACTGTCCCCCCCCCTGCCTTTCTAGACCAGACTCCCACTCCGACTCGGTTCCTGAAAAATTGCGAGGAGGTGGGGCTCTTTAATGAGTTAGCCAGTTCCTTTGAACAAGAGTTCCCCAAAACCCAGGAAGATGACGACAGCAAGAGAGCTAAGAACCCTGTAAGCTGTTACCGAAAGGGGGGGGGAGGGGTTTCTCTGTTTTGAATTTTCAGAACCAAAATCCATAAAGGGGTTAAATATAAGGGTTGGGTGTATTCTGGGTTAATATAGATGACAAACATCACCTGTGCATATTTTGAGATCAGCAAAGGCATTTCTCCCCTCCTTACGATAGCTACCTCCTGCCCATCCTGCTGCCCTGGACATGAGCCTACAGACACCATCTGAGGTGAAGGTGAAGCAAGAGGGGCCTGTTGAGGTGGATTCCTCTTCTCCCGGGAGCCCTGACTCGGCCTCCAGCATGTCTGACAGTGACGGGAATCCCACGGTGAGGGAGGGGAAATGGGAAAAGACGAGGGGAGAAAGATATGTCAGTAAAGACTGCACAGTCCTGCTGACTCAGGCCCTGGATCAGATTCTTGAGAGACTGATAATCCTGGGAAAGGAGAAATTGAAAGAAAATGAGACAGAACATGATAAGAAAGTAAGAAGCATAAGATTAGTTTCATTGAGTAAAGGGGCAGGGAAGAAGGTTAGGAATTAACAAATGAATTCTCTTTAATGGATGCCGATAATCTTTAAAGCCGTTTATTACGTTTTTGAAAACCTCCATATGAAGGTAGCTGTACAATAACACTATGAATTGGATTTAAAATAAGACAGACAGACACTGCAAAAATAAACAACACTGCAAAAATAAACAAATCTCAAAATGTAATCAATCAATAAGTAACAAAACATTGCAGGGGGTTGTGCGTGTGGTATAACTGAAGTATGCCTTGTACCCAAGGATTGGGTACAGTAAAGTGGTAAGTTAAAGAGGGTTAGGGTTAGTGTTCTCCAAACTGTGTGATGCGACATGTAAAAACCAAACATTTGGCACAGAAACCCTTAGTTGGCAACATGAGTCTATAACTGAAGAAGCTTCTCATCTCAGGAGCGGATGGGACACATTATTCATAATGCAGTGAAGTCTGGACAACTTTCTCCCCTCACCCACTGCTCTCAAGGAGTCCAGGCTCAATCCTATGACAGATGCTTGTTTAGCTAAACACCTTTTTTCACATCGATATCCAACAGCAAACGGCAGTGAAGAATGTGACACCTGCTTTGATCTAGTAAAACAAGTAGGCCTGCAAGTTTTCTGTCCAAACTAAAGGCGCTTTAACAAACTACTCTCCAGTTTTTCCTAGACTCTCATTACATTTTCATGCTACTCCAACCTGTAATGGGTGTAAACACCAAGGTAGTAATAGCACTGTACACTGTATAGCATATTTGAAGTGCTGAGGTGGGAGGAAGGTATATCTTTTAAAGGGATGGTTTTTGCCTTCCCCCCCCCCCCCCCCCCCAGGGGGATGGCATCCACTTACATCCCAGTCCTGTCTGTACGTTTTCTGTACTCAGTTTTTTTTTTGCTCTTCCTTAAGTACCAGCTCTTCTGTGTGTCCAACACTGAGATGTAGCTGGTTCCTCAAACACCACCTAGTGAAACTGTAAAACGCTGTTTTTCTGTCACCGATGCCTCCTACGCTTGTGTGATCATAAGGGGATGTCAGGAGATGGCAGATTGTACCTGAAGTCTGTGGTGTAAAATAGAATGGATACAGTAATTAGTCTCTGTGGGATTTTCCGGAGATTTTTTTGCGATTGTTGTGCTCAAAAACACTTGATTTTGAAGTGGCTTTTCTCGAAATTTGCCAGGCAATTTGTGGAATTATGCATTTTTTTGTGGAAAGTTTGAGAACTATGGGCTCAGTTATGCATATCATATATGTATTTATGTGTGTGTGTGTGTGTGTGTGTGTGTGTGTGTATATATATGTATATATATATATGTATATATATATATATATATATTTACAGCGAAAAAGAGAGGTTAGGAGCATGTACTGATACAGTGCGTTGCTGCACTCACCACATGACAAACCACCTCAGGGATGAGAACCTGAGAGCAGCCATGTGGCAGGTGATACCTCAGCACCACACCAGTCCAAATGGACCAGTGTGAAGTTTTTTCTGGTGGCTGGAGTGCCAAACCTGCCACCAACCCCCAAGTTTTTCCCTGTAAGTTGGATGACCTCCGTATAGGGCTGAGTGTAGATTTATGTCATACACATGATAAAGCAATTGCAGCTTAAGGGCCCAATGGATTAGAATAACTCTGGCCATTTGTGAGATTTGAACCAACAACCTTCCAGTTACTGGCACAGATCCCTAGCCTCAGAGCCACCACTCTACATACAGCCACAAAAAAATTAAGAGACCACTATATTTTTAAACAAATCTGCAATTTTAAATCCTGATTTAATCCTGGTTATGCTGGCAGAAGGCTACACTGAACAGCAGGTTGCTTCCAGGTTCAAAATTTCTAAGACAGCAGTACGCAAGAACAAGGTGAAGCAGGAGACATTGGGAATGACCAGAAACCAGCCAAGTAAAGGGCGGAAGTCACATCTGCCAGAGATGACCGTTAAATTATTCAACAGTTTCTCACGAATTATAGGATGGCATCAAGTGACCTTCAAAAGGAATGGGGAACATTAAGTGCAGGTGTGAAGTGCACTGCTAGGACAGTTTGAATCAGGCTCCTAGAAGCAGGAATGAAGTCCCATAAAGCAAGGATGTAGCCCTTACCTACAGTACATACATACATACAAACATACACACCACACATACACAAATGGTTTTGGAGGAGTTTGACCAGAGAGCAAAGAAAAAGCAGCCAGCGAGTGCCCAGCATAGGTGGGTCCTCCTTCAGGACAGCTGGAGAAGCATCCCAGGAGGCCACCTCATGGAACTGGTGTAGAGGGGACAGTAGGGTCAGCCAGTCCCTGGAGCAACTGGGTTTAAGGGCCTTTATCAAGGGCCCAGTGGTGAGATCATTCTGCTGAACATGGGATTCGAACCGGCAACCTTCTGAGTCCCAACCCACAGAGCTGCCCTGCCCCACCAAATTACTTTTAGTTTAATACTTTTTTGGTTAGTGCATAGTTCGATATATGTACATATTTAAAGGCTGTTTGAAAAACGAAGTGTGATTTCTTACATCCATATGACTGTATGCACGGTGTTGCAAGGTGTGCAAAATATTCAAGAGTTGTTTTTCACGGTCTGTATTAGTAATTGTTGTTGGTAACTGAGATGTGTTTATTGCACTGATATCCCCCTTATTGCGGCCCGGCAGAAACACAAGCACTAATGCACATTGCACTGGGACCACAGGATGCATCATGGTCCAAATGCAAGTGGTCTGTTGATTTGGCCATTTCTTATGAAAAAGCTGCAATAAACTTGAAAAACTGCAAGCTCTAGCAAATATTGTGGCGGTTGTATGATTTTGCGTTAATTTCAGTATCCTGCACGGACTGAGTAATGGGGGCATCAATGCATTTGCATCATATCAGATATTCATTTACTGTAGCATGTTAATAAAGTTGTCTGTGAAAACTATGGTGTCACCTTGCTCTTCTCACCAAACAGGGAAGGCTAGACGGTGATAAAAACACTGGAGAAGTCAAAGAAGAGATTCCGCATGATGTTGCTCGACTTGTCCAGGTATGAGTAAGCTCTGTGACGCAGGTACAGCATAGGATCTTTGATACTTATGTGTGCTAGGTATGCAAAGTACAGTGGGTCTAGGAACGGCTTCTAAGTCGTCTCAGGTGTGGAAGGGCCACCATATTATTTTTTCTTTCATTTGGACGCCTTTGGTCTGTAGTCAACAGCACTGGAGCGTCTGTTCTTGGGTACAGGGGCTGTACAGTTTTAGTCATGGGGATAGGTTAAACAAATCTTACAAGAAGCAATCATTTGCTACCAAAGAGTAGTTGTTTATGTAATAGTTGTTACCCCTAACAGGAGAGTAACCCAAAGTCAGCAGTGAGTTCAGCCCCTACCCCTACCATCGTTCGGCCCGGCTCGCTGCCGCTCCACATGGGTTATGATGCCATACACTCTACTATGCCCTCACCAACCTCAGTCATCACACAGGCTCCTCCCTCCAACCGCCAGCTGGGGTAAGTCTGAGTTGGGGGTAAGTCTGAGTTGGGGGTAAGTCTGAGTTGGGGGTAAGTCTGAGTTGGGGGTAAGTCTGAGTTGGGGGTAAGTCTGAGTTGGGGGAAGTCTGAGCTGGGGTAGGTCTGAGCTGGGGTAAGTCTGAGTTGGGGGTAAGTCTGAACTGGGGTAAGTCTGAGCTGGGCCAATTCGGTCCCTTGAGTCTGAATTTCATTGCAGCCGCCTTTTCTTAAGCCTCCCTTATCATATAGCTCCACCCCTGTGTTCCTCTGCTGTTCTCAGCGACCCAACATAAGCGTCTGTCCCTTTCTGTCTCTTTGGCTTCCGCTAATTCCTGCTGTGCACTTGCAGTTCCCCTACAGCGCAGTACCCAATGATGATGCATCTTCCCAATGGCCAAGCGGTACCAGTGCTTCCTGGCCCAGTGCAGATGCCCTCTGTCATATCGGTGAGTCATGTGCCTCCATCTGTGGCCGCCATGGATCGTTCCTGGAGGACATGGTGTAATGGCGTGTGTTTCACAGTTGGCTCGGCCGGTGTGCATGGTGCCCAACATCCCCGGTATCCCTGGCCCCACACTGGGAGGCACCAGCAGCGGCTCCTCGTCCCCCTCTGGATACAACCACCATTCAGAGGCCAAAATGGTAAGACCGCCCCCCAAGCTCCATTCGTCAGTCTTCTCTCTCTGTGTCTTCGTCTGTTTTTCCATTCTGTGCACAGATGGACATTTGCACAAGGCTAGCATAGTGACAGTAGGTGTTTTTTATGTATACTGTCTTTTTTCCTTTTGAAATATAGCTGTTACCATACTGAGGAAGTTTTAAAGAATTTGCAAAATCACAGCTAAGTGAACAGATATGGCAAATATAAAGGGCGCCGCCATCGTGAAATGACTTGTTTTCTTTTGTTGAGTCGTTTCTTTTTGCTCTCCGCTCTTGACGTCAGTGATGCTGACAGACTTCTGTGTCCCAAGTACTCTACTGGTGTCCAGTTAATGTTTCCCCTGTCATACATAGTGGCTGGTTGAAAGGATAAGAAGGATCTTTAGGACATGTTTCCACGTTGTATTTTTAAAACCAAAAAATAAATCCGTATTGTTATCTACAGAACTGAAAACATAGAAACACTAGTAATTTTAGCGTTATTCTTACCATTTACAAAGTGATCTCTGCAAACTCTGCCACTGTTAAGGTTGTAATTCATTCTTGATATTTTGAGCAGTTTAAATGATGCCAGCAACCATTAAAATGATCTGTTAAAGTCACCCATCAAACAAAACCTAATCTTATTGGTTATATTGCGAAGTAAGTCACAACAGAATGATTACGCCTAGTCGATTGAATTCTCATTTATAATCGCATGTTATCAGTTCCTTCTTGGCATTGTATTACATTCTAACTTCCCTAAATCTTAAATAAGCTTCCTAACTATAGAATAACAGTTAAACTGTCCTAACTTTAATTTGCCACCACATAGTGTGAGCTATAGCTAAAGTTACTTTATCCGTATGGGCGCCCCTTTATTGCTTTTACACAAGTGAAATATAAGGACATAACGATAAAAATGATATATATTGCAGCCTCATTTTAATATATCATGGAAATGAATTGCAGTATTCCCGTGGTTTCAGTCATCCACAGTTTACCTCGTTCTGAAAAAAAAAGTTAAATGTGTAACACTATGTTTTTTCATATCTCCTTCATCCTTTGATGGGTGTAAAAGCATGATTTGCATTGCTACGTTATCCCTTGATGCATGATATTTCATTTAATATTTCTTGAAAATTAGGGTAAAACATCAGAATCCCTTTCGTTCAAGAACAGTTCAATTTTAC